CTTTATTGAAGGAAAATCTACTTAAAGATGTTTAACTTCTATTATAATTATCATTAAGTTTTTTGAATTCAAAGATTATGATTGATAATTTTAAAATTTTGAAGAATGAATTTTTTAATTTCTAAATCTTTAATACAGAATTAAATTAAGTAATGAATTAAGTTCATTCAACATTATCTTATTTTTAATTTGAAGATAATTTACCTGATCCTCAAAAAAATTAGTTATATCTTTTTATTATTACATGTTAACACTTATTGATATCTAATGTTTTATTAAAAAACACTTAAAATTTTAGGTTTTTTTCTTTCATTGCTATTCCTACAATAAGAATAGAAAATATTATTTATGAGAATTAATATTAGTCAGAGAAAGTACCTTTTACTATTGAATGTTTGTAAAATAGTGCAACAAACTCATAGTTGTTGTAAGTTCAAGGTTTCTCAAACATTATGTTACAATATATTTAAATTAAAAATTAAATCAGTATAGATAAATCTATAATTTCAATATAATCTAATCCTTTGGTAGATTTTAACCAAATTGAATAAATATTATTTAGAGAAGTGACCTTTATCGGAAACATACTGCTAAAAATAAACTTAGGAATTTTTTTTTCCTTATTTGAAATCTACTCAGAGAAAACTTAAAAAATAATTATAGAGAATATAATATTTTAAGAAAATATATTTCATTCATATGAAGCTGATCCATCAGATAATTCTGCTAGTCTGGCTCATATTGAATCAGGAGAAAGTAAAATAAGGATAAGCAATATCCTTTGTTCTAACAACACTTTAACAAATTCATCTAATTCATTTATTTCTATTATTTCAGATGAAATTTCAGTTGAAAAATTTTAAACTTTTAATCATAATTATTTAGATGCTAAATTATGGTAAAAATATTATTAATTGCAAATTCATAGTCTATTTAATTAGAATCAAATTATTTATCTTATCAAGAGTACATATAAAATAGATACTATCGGAGGAGGTCTATCAATTACGGCCTCATAAATATAATTTAATAATGGGTTGTTTAATAATATCATTGCTTCAAGTAGCATAATTTTTAAAATAAACTTAAAAGGCAATGGAATTGTAATTATAAAGAATTGTGATATTGCTTATGCTTAAGCTTAATTAATTTCTACAACCTAAGTTAATGGAGCCATGACAATTGATGCTAGGAGAAGCTTATTAACAATTTAAATAGAAAATTTAAACGTAAAATATGTATAAAATAAGCTATCATCTTCAATCTTTTCTATAACTCCATCATTGATTAAGAATAAGATAACTTTAAAGTAAATATACGCTTTAAATTGTTTTTCTCTTTTAAATCAACTTTTACATTTAGAGTTTGATTATAAAAATGCTGAAAACAATATAGTAATAATAGAAAATTTACATATTTTATAAACTGAAGCTGCCTTTATGCTTTATGTTTAATCAGTTGGAAAACTAAACCGTATTGATATTGAAAAAGCAATCTAAGATAATGCTATCTTAAATATGATAGGTTGTTAGGCATATATTAAATAAGTTTTAATCGAAGGAGTGTTGTCATCATCTATTTTAAAAATAGTAGATTATGCGAAGATTGTCCTTACTAATTTCTAATTTTAGTATATTTCAACTTTTTATCCATTACATTTAATAGATTTATCTTAAACCAATGTACTTTAATCAGATTTAATGCTAAACAATTTTTCAATATAGAATGGGAACTCATTTTAGTTCAATAAATATTAGTTAAATTATTATTAGAATAATTTAAATGTTGATTAATAAATTAAATAATGTACATTAATAAGTGATTATGTAACAGATCAATCATCTGACTCAGAATCTATTCATATATTTTTTGAAGAAATGATTTAGAATTCTAATCAAAATGGTTCGTTAATACGTATAAATAGTATAACTAATTAAACCCCAATCACAGTAAAAAAAATATTAATTCAAAATAATAACTGCGAACATTGTTTGAATGGTCTATTGTATTTTGAATTAGTAGATTTTAAAATTATTAAAATTTAATAAATTTAATGCGTATTGAACTTTATTAAAAGAAATGGGTGTATTTTAGCAATATCAAAAAATAGCTTAGATAGAAAATTTATAATTGATCAATCAACATTTATCTCAAACTAAGGAACTTAAGGAACAGGTGTATAAGGTCAAAATATAAGAGTTGTTTTAGCAAACTCCAGAATTATTAATAATGTTGCTTCCCAAAAGGGGGGAGGAATTTATTTTAATCCAATTTTAAGTAGTTTTTTATTATATTAAACACTTATTTGCTAGAATTCAGCTTAAATAGGAGGGGGTGTTTACCTTGAGGGGAATAGCAGTTTAAGTAATTATAATTTTATATAATCACTCATGATTTAAAATTCAGCTCAAGTATCTTCAAATAATCTTTATGAAGTACCCTCTCATTTAGCTTTGTAGATTAATTATTAAGTAATGCATTCTCTGAAATAAGAAATTGACAATCAAATAATTTATCTACTATAATTACATCCATATAAAATTATCTCTCAGAATCAAGTGATAAAAACAAATTATTTAACTATACCAAGTGGTTAAATGCTGTCAAATTATGAACTATATAATCCTAAACTTAGGAAATATATATCTTACTTAAAAGATATTTCTGTAATATTTAAAAATAGTCGGAATGAAAAATAGCATAGCATTATAAACTCAACATGCAATTTAACCTAAGAAATTTATGATATTTAATCTTAAATAGCTTTAGATAGTTTATAGTTATATAGCATTGGCTATAATTCAGATACAAATAAATTTGATATAGGTTCAACAAAGTTCAATTTTGATCCATATTAATAAGAATCAAAAAAATATGAAATTTTGGTAGAATGTAAAACAGATTATTAATATAAAATTTTATCTTATAAAATGAGAGTCAACAGCTTTTTCTGTTAATTAGGTGAATTTTATATTTCTGAGGGTTGTTAAGCATGTTAATCAGAACAAGGGTTTTATTCTGTAACATACAACAGTACAAAATGCTCAATTTTTGATAAAACTAAATTTGAGGCTATAACAACTAATTAAATTTTATTAAAGCCTGGTTATTGGAGACCAAACTATATTTCCGATTATGTTGAACTCTGTTATAAAAACATTTACTAGTGTAAAGGTGGTTGGTCAGTCGGAGACGATATTTGTATTAAAGGTCATATTGGAGGATTGTGTGAGGAATGTGATAATTTTAATATTAAAGGAGATGGATAATTCTTTAAGAATTAATAGCAATTAGATTGTTAATAATGCCAAGAGTTGTCAAAAAGAGTGATAGCCTTTCTATTGATTTTAATTTGGTATAAACTCTTATTAATTTAAGGGCTATTTTATCCACTTTATTAACAATAAGGAGTATTGAAAAATCTAATTAACTATTTAGGTATCTTAAATTAAAATTAAAATTTGCAGATATCCTATTCAATTTAGATTAAGGTAAATAATATATTAATTTAGATCATGAAAGTATATTGCTTAAATTATATTTAAATTATTTATGGATATTTTCACTTATCTTCACATTTAACATTAATTTTTCATTTACTTTGAGCTTTCTTAAGTAATCTAGTGATACTACTTATTTTATGGCTAATTTTTTTGAATGTTTTTTATCTGAAATAGAAGGCATTGAATTGATATATAGCAGAATTATACTTACTGTTGGATTAATTATAAGTTAAGTGTTAATAATCTAATTTGGGTGTGCTTTATTTTCCTTTTTCACAGCCTAAAAATATAAAAGTAGAATTATGTCCAACACAATTCTTTATTTGTATATTTAAAATTATGCAACATTAATTAAATAGTAAAATTAATTTATTATTATTAGATTCTTTTCTACTTTAGCAATTAGAAAGATTTCCTAAATTGACTACATATAAGGTGATGTATCTTTACTCTATGGATCGAATAATCATTTTAATTGGATATATGCTTTTATAATCCCTGGTTCAGCATTATTCGGATTAATAATACCTTTATCATTATATATCTTTCTATATTTAAAGAAGAATGATCTAAACAAAATTAAGTATAGAAGTCATATTGGATATTTATTCAACGAATATACTAGAAAAAATTATTTTTGGGAATGGATAAAACTTTGGAATAAAACTATTATAATCATTATTTTAATATATTTTGAAACTGATATATCATTAAAAGCTTCATCGTTAGGATTGTGTTTATTAATATACTAATACTTATCCCAGCATTTCAAGCCTTATAACCTCCAAAAATTTAATTTATTAGACGTTCAAACTGGATAGCTTTGTTCTAGCGCAATATTTTTTGCAGCCGTCAAATACATATGCGATTAATAAGAAAATTATACCCTTTCATCCCTCATTTAAACCATCATAATACTTATTAGTTTAATCTTAAGTTACCCTTTTATTAGAGGTATACTAAAGGTTTATTTCAAAAAATATAAGCCAGGCGTTTTCGAAATTATGCTTACAATTTGTAAAAACTATTATCCAAATTCTAAATTTACAAAATATTTAAGCTTAAGACTTATAATATTGAGATAGAGAGAAAAGAAAATTAAGAGCCACTTTTAAAAAATGAAATAAGCCTTTAAGAAAAGGAAATAAAATGAAAAGAAGCAGTAAATTGTATTATTTATTCTAGGTAAAAAATTGTTTTGAATAGTAATTTATCAAAAAATAATACAATGAATTTACTATTAAATCAAAGTCAGAAAAAGGAATTTGATAACTCCTGATACATTAGATTATTATTAAAGAATATTATTATCTTTTTGATAATTTAAATCGGCATAATAGTTAAGTTGTCTAATTAATCTCANATTTAGATCATGAAAGTATATTGCTTAAATTATATTTAAATTATTTATGGATATTTTCACTTATCTTCACATTTAACATTAATTTTTCATTTACTTTGAGCTTTCTTAAGTAATCTAGTGATACTACTTATTTTATGGCTAATTTTTTTGAATGTTTTTTATCTGAAATAGAAGGCATTGAATTGATATATAGCAGAATTATACTTACTGTTGGATTAATTATAAGTTAAGTGTTAATAATCTAATTTGGGTGTGCTTTATTTTCCTTTTTCACAGCCTAAAAATATAAAAGTAGAATTATGTCCAACACAATTCTTTATTTGTATATTTAAAATTATGCAACATTAATTAAATAGTAAAATTAATTTATTATTATTAGATTCTTTTCTACTTTAGCAATTAGAAAGATTTCCTAAATTGACTACATATAAGGTGATGTATCTTTACTCTATGGATCGAATAATCATTTTAATTGGATATATGCTTTTATAATCCCTGGTTCAGCATTATTCGGATTAATAATACCTTTATCATTATATATCTTTCTATATTTAAAGAAGAATGATCTAAACAAAATTAAGTATAGAAGTCATATTGGATATTTATTCAACGAATATACTAGAAAAAATTATTTTTGGGAATGGATAAAACTTTGGAATAAAACTATTATAATCATTATTTTAATATATTTTGAAACTGATATATCATTAAAAGCTTCATCGTTAGGATTGTGTTTATTAATATACTAATACTTATCCCAGCATTTCAAGCCTTATAACCTCCAAAAATTTAATTTATTAGACGTTCAAACTGGATAGCTTTGTTCTAGCGCAATATTTTTTGCAGCCGTCAAATACATATGCGATTAATAAGAAAATTATACCCTTTCATCCCTCATTTAAACCATCATAATACTTATTAGTTTAATCTTAAGTTACCCTTTTATTAGAGGTATACTAAAGGTTTATTTCAAAAAATATAAGCCAGGCGTTTTCGAAATTATGCTTACAATTTGTAAAAACTATTATCCAAATTCTAAATTTACAAAATATTTAAGCTTAAGACTTATAATATTGAGATAGAGAGAAAAGAAAATTAAGAGCCACTTTTAAAAAATGAAATAAGCCTTTAAGAAAAGGAAATAAAATGAAAAGAAGCAGTAAATTGTATTATTTATTCTAGGTAAAAAATTGTTTTGAATAGTAATTTATCAAAAAATAATACAATGAATTTACTATTAAATCAAAGTCAGAAAAAGGAATTTGATAACTCCTGATACATTAGATTATTATTAAAGAATATTATTATCTTTTTGATAATTTAAATCGGCATAATAGTTAAGTTGTCTAATTAATCTCATTAATTCTCTTAATCGATTTGAATATTCTCACTAATTTTGGATAATATAATTGTCTTATTATTATTTCAATATATTTTACTTTTTATGTCATTTGATAATTCAAATGGTACTTGAAATTTCTTAGAGTGAGATTCTTGATCATTATAAAAATCATTTCATTTAATTTTAAAACCATCTTTATCATTTCTAATTTGTAACTACTATTAATGGGTCTGAAACCATAATTGAACTAATAGAATATTATATTTATAATTTTGATAATTCAACATCAAATAATTTAATGATAAAATTTAAAATAGTAAGTAGCCATCGATTTCAAATATTTAGCTCTATATTCTTTTTTTAGAGTACTGAGTAATAATTTACTACTTTAAGATTCAAAATTAAATTTGATACTAAATAGTTACTTTAATTTAATTAAGGTATTTTTTGCTAAATTTTAAAGGATTTTAAGATTAATTTTTCCATTTTAATTTCGATATTCTCTTAGTATTTCTCATTAATCAGAATAATATTCAAATAAAGAACATAATTTTAATTTGATTGAATATATATACTATGATTAAAAATTTATAATTTTATAACTTTCGTCTAAGTAAAATAGCTTTAGTATGTGATTTAATTAGTAAATGTGATATCAACTTAATGCAATATAACGAACTTAATTTATTTAAAAATTTGTAATCTATTAAATGCTCTATCCTGAATACTTAATTGAAAATAAAATTTTTCTTAAAAATAGTTTCAAGTAAGAAAAAACAATTATCAAACAAAAAAAAGATATATTATGGTTACGAGAAGATAAATAAATTACATGATTGCAAAAATAAATATGACTATTTAAATTAAATTATTTCAAATTTCTTAAAAAAAAGGTATCATCAAATTTTTTTATAGGGTTTTATTTGTTATGAATTTTTAGCAAAAATTGAAATAACAACTAATTTATATAAATATGATTATTTTCATAAAACTCAAATTTAAACTGCTTTTTATTCTGACTCTAGCTAATGTTCCAATAGATGGGCTCCCTTTTGTTTAAAATGAATTCTCATATCCATTCCCAAATGATTGGTGAATGAACCTTTTTGTATTTGCGTTCCTTATGCTTCTAAAAGTCCTTGTTGGGAAATAAGTACAATTGTAAGAATATTACTAACTAAAATATTACTAATACTTAATTTTACTGATTCCTAATGGGTCTTAATAATCTGAATTCTAAATTAGTATATCTTAATTAGAATGGATAGAAATTTGATTTGATAATGCATCCTTTATATCCCATATACGAATTGATTTATCTGCGCTGCTGGATGCTAATGTAAAACCATCAGGGGAGAAGCATACCGAAAGAACTTAATTAATATGTCCGTCTAATTTAAATTTTTCTTCTCCTGTCTTAACATTCCATAGTCGAATAGCATTATCCCATCCGCCAGATGCTAAAATAGTACCATCAGGAGAAAAGCATAGTGATTATACTTATTTTATATGCCCTTTCAATTGTAATTTCCTTTATCCTTTCTTAACGTCCCATAAGCGAATAGTATTATCCCAACTACCAGATGCTAAGGTATTTCCATCAGGAGAAAAGCATACTGAATAGACAAAATTATTATGTCCTTCTAATTTAAATTTCTCTTATAATCTTCTAATATCCCATAACCGAATAGTATTATCCCTACTACCAGATGCCAATATAATCCCATCAGAAGAGAAAGATACCGAAATAACACTATCACTATGTCCTTCTAATGATGACTATTTTTATCCTTTCCTTAAATCCCATAAACAAATTATATAATCAGAGCTTCCAGAAGCTAATATAGTACCATCCGGAGAAAAGGATACTGAATTTACATTCTCACTATGTCCTTCTAATGATAATTTTTCTTGTCCTGTCTTTAGATCCCATATACGGATCGTTTTATCAAAACTACCTGATGCTAACGTAGCACCATCATGAGAGAAGCATACTGATTAAACCTACTTACTATGTCCTTTTAATTGTAATTTCTCTTATCCAGTCTTGATGTCCCATAATCGGATAAAATTATCAGAACCTCCAGATATTAATGAAATGCCATCGGGAGAGAAAGATATAAAATTAACACTATCGCTATGTCCTTCTAATTGTAATTTTTCTTGTTTTGTCTTTACATCCCATAATCGAATAGATTTATCAGCACTTCCAGCTGCTAATATTGTACCATCAGGAGAGAAACATACAGAATAGATGCCATCACTTTATCCTTCTAATTTTGAGTTTTCTTGTCCTGTATTGACATCCCATAAACGAATAGTGTTATCCCAACTACCAGATGCTAGTTTTGTTCCATCAGGAGAGAAGCATACCGATAAGACGTAAGAATTATGTCCCTCTAATTTATATTTTTCTACTTGTGCCTTTATATCCCATAAATGGATAGTGCAATCCCTACAACCATATGCCAATGTAGTACCATCTGGCGAAAAGCACACTGAATTGATACTTTCATTATGTCCTTCTAATTTTTATTATTCCTTTCCTGTTTTTAAATCCCATAAACGAATAGATTTATCAGCACTACCAGATGCTAATTTAGTACCATCAGGGGAAAAGCTTATTGAGAAAACACTATCATTATGTCCTACTAATTTTGATTTTTCTTGTCCTGTCTTTACATCCCATAAACGAATAGTATTATCTGAACCTCCAGATGCTAATGTATTGCCATCTGGACAGAAACAAACTGATTATATATACTTCGTTTATTTTTCAAGTTTAAATTTTACTTAATTTGTTTTTACATCCCATAAACGAATTGTATTATCCCAACTACCAGAAGCCAATAATGTACCATTAGGAGAGAAGCATACAGAATTCACCCAATGGCTATGCCCTTCTAATTTGGATATGTTTTTTCCTGTCTTTACATCCCATAAATGGATGGACTTATCTGCACTACCAGAAGCTAACATAGTGCCATCAGGAGAGAAGCATACTGAATTGACATCGCTAGTATGTCCTTCTAACTTATGCAATTCATTCATTTACAGATTTTTCCATTTGCAATTGAATAATTGTGCACCGTTCAAATTAATTCCATTAATTTTTACATTTTCAAATTAAGATTCACTTAAATCACATTTAACAAAGCTAGCTCCTATTAAAGAGGTATTTTTGATCTTGATATTCCTAAAGCACAGGTTAGTCAGATCAACTTTCATTTCGACTAATAAATTAAGAGAATTAGAACCACTTTGAATGAAACTTTGATCAAATGCTGTGAGATGAACAATAAATTTTAAGAATTCTATAATATTTTTTTCTTAAAATATCTATTAAATTAATTGTTTTCTAGTTTCCACATAAATTTCGGTGGAATAATTAATTAAATTTAGGTCATGTTATTTTAACATTCTTACAATATTAGTAATATTCTTTATGTTTTTTTCTATAATATTCAATTTCTATTGTTTATCATAGAGAGATAAATTATCTAGCTAAATACAGAATTCGTAATGCTTTTGATTTACATCATTTTAAAGAAACCCTAAACAATCTATAACTTTCTCGTATATGAAAATTTCAATCAACTTGCTAAATATTTTCACATCAAGATCCTTTGACAATACTAATAATTCATACAGGTCTGCTGAAATTAAAAATTGCTAGATAGATTTATGAACAAATTAAAAGTTAGCTCCTTTTTATTAGATTAATGAACAACTTCTAATATCTATTTTATAAGATCCATCTTAACCATCATCATTAAAGAATTCATTTAACCATTTTTCTTCCTCATTTTCAACTTTATACAATAACCCTTATTATTTATATTAAACTTAAGTCATTTCTTTAATGCTCATTTATTTTGCCAGCTTTATTGAATATTTATATAGATCATAAAGAAAACGGTCAGTATTAATAGATTTTCCTAAATTCCTCTATTTTTCAATTTATTTCAAATGATATTATTTTATAAACTCATCATAAAAGTCATAACTGGTGAGATTTTATTCTTTTAATGCATCACATATCAACTCAATCAATCTTTCAAAGTTTATTTATACTTTTTAAATAATTTCATCTTTTATTCCTAGAATATTTTTATAATTATGTTAAAATATCTTGATTAACTTTATATTTAGTTCATTAATTTCTTAAGATATCTAAAATTGATTTGGAATTTAATTTTCTTCCATCTTATTCCAAATTTCAATTGCAGTTTAAATGTAGTCATATTTTTCAATAAATTACATTTCTAGTCTACTAGCTTCTTAATTTTTATTATTATTAGCATACATTTTAATTAGGTATTCACTTTTTAATAATTCTCTATACATTTTTGAGAAATTCTTAATAAAGTTTTATTTTAAGTTGATAATTTCAGTTTTTTTCACCATCATCAAGGGCAATACCGAAACAATTATCTCCATCATGTAAGGGGTTTATATTAATTTATCCAAGTTTATCATCTTTATCATATTTTCATACTTTCTTACACTCCATAGTTTTTACAACTTAACACCAAGACTTCTTATAGCTTCAATACTTTTTAAAGCAATATGATTATCATTTTTCAAAAACAAGAAAATACTTTCTATTTATTTTTGGTTCAATAGTGACTCAGAATTTACATTTGTTATAAATTGTTTCAAAACTTCTGTGTGTAATTTTTCCCAACTTTTTTCAAAATTTTAGATATCAATAGAACTTTGATATTTCATTTATGTTTGCCATTCATATATTTCAAAAACAAGGACTTTAATACTTAATAATGTGAATTTTGTTAGATATTCTTTTTTTTACATTTCATCAAATTTTAGAAGTTAAACTTCTTTTATTTATTTTTTATCTTCTGGCACAAACCATTCTTTATAATTACTAGTAGTAAGAATTTCACTCCTTGTAGTAAAAATAACCAGAGGATTTGACCAATTTTAATTAAGTTTGTTAGTAATATATAAATTTTTTTAAATATTCTCTAATTTCATTTCATCATAACTATCCATTATAAATAAGAATCGAAACTCTTTCTTCTCAAGCATTTCTTTACATTCTTTTAATTAGAGATCATCAAAACCATATTCATCCTAGTGAAGAGTTTCCTCTACAGCTTGAAAAACAGGATTTTTTAAAGAAGGTAAGGAAATATAAACAGGTATGAGTATTTGATTACTAATTTTTATATTGTTATCATGCAATTTCCAAATAAACTCTTCTAATTTCTTAGCTGTTGTACTTTTACCTGATCCAGCAACTCCATGAATCAACAATACTGTCTCCTTCTCATCTAACAAAAATTCATTTACCTCACCTACTTTATCATCAAATTATTCTAAATTTATTAAACTACTAGGATTTAATTAACCTTTTTCTTAAGTTTTTAATGGAATATAAATAGACTTTATATTTTTTTATGCGGCTTCTTTTAAAACCTTCCATTTTCTAATCTCAAATAGTTAATCAACTGATTTTCCTCTCAAAAATTTGATATCATTGCCCATACTATTTAATTATTCTTTCATAATATTAATTTTTCTCTCAAATCTTGTTAAACCCTTTCTTATATAATTTAAAAAATCTGTTATTAATTTAAGTTATTAACCCATATCACTTATATTTTCAATATATTCATCAAGTTGTTAAGTAGTTTAATCTAATTTCTACAGTTATTGATCTCGTTTATTGTGATTAATTTCATGAGAGATTTATTCTTACAAATCATCAATTTTATTTAGCATATTTTACATTTCATCTGCTATTCTATCATGTTAAGTCTTCCAATCTTTCTGCAGTAATTGCATCTGCAAACTTATAATTCTTTTGTTTTTTAATAGATTTCTAATTCTTTAATCTTTTTCTTTAGCCCAAATTTAAATGAGGGCTTTTTGACAAAATGAAATGATTGTATCTGTGAAGCAATTTGATGAAATCTATATTATTGCAAATACCAATCCTTCTTTAATTTTCCATTCTTCATTTTTTTTATTATGTTTTAATTTTTAAATCCAAAAATCCGATAAGAGTAACTGTTAATTTGATTCTCCATCAATTTCTTATGGTAAACCATCCAATTAATTAATATTATAAATTTGTAAAACATAAAATTCTTATTCAATAAACAGTTCTTATTATTTATAACTTTTCTCTTCTAATTGGTTTTGAATTTTGACTTTTTATTTATTAAGTAAATCATAGATATTAGGCTTACCTCCATCTTTTTTAATTTAAGTTATATCTTATTATAAATCTATTAAGATTCTTTCTAAATAATTAAGGGAACTTTCATTTTCTTAAAAATGACATTTTAGATTTCCGATTGTATATTATAATTCGATAAAGTTGTTTATTTATTTTTAATAAGATAAATTAAAAAATTTTGTTATATCTTTCTATTTTTCTACATTATAACTCTATATAAGATTAATCTAACTTGAAAAATCTACAATTTCTTATAGAAATTAGACTAAATAGTTTTTCTATTCTTTGATTAATATTTACTAAATTTGTAAAATCTTTAAAATTATATTGATGCTATTAATATAATTCTTTTGATTATTTTATTAAATTTTATTTTCCTGATATTTTAACAAAATTTCATTTTATTAATTTATTATTTCTCTTAATTTCCCAAGCTCTTCAATAATAAGTATCTGAAATATTTCAAAATTTTATTTTAGTGACTTATTCAAAATTTATACAATTATTTATAACTAATTTATTATTTTTTCTAAGTTGACTACAATTAATTTTTTAATGTTATTGGTTTCTAATAATATTTTAAATTATTTCAAAAAATGTTCATACTTTTCTAATTCAAATTTTTAGTATTATTGATTAAAATTTACTTCAATTGTTTTTTTCATTGTTTCATTTATTAATATAATTATTTTCTACATGTTTTCAATCAATTAATGTAAAGAAGCTTCTTCATAATCTTCTCCAAACTCCTTTTCAAGTAACTTTAAATCTGTAATCTCTGAATCATTTTATTATTCTTCCAAATTTAATATCACTATTAAATATTCTATTAATCCTTTTGCATTTGAAAATTTATTTTAATATTCATTTTGGATCATTTTCAAACTTTCTAATTCACTTCTTGTTTAGTTTTATAAATTACTATTACATTTAATAATTCTCTTTGGATAATCGTTAATTACATCAAGTAGAAACTAATTCAAATTAATAGCATCTTATAATTATAATAATTATTCTGATTAGGCTTATGTTATTATATTTTTGAAGGAGTCATTAAATACCGTTAACATTAATTACAACTTTAACATTTTAAATTTAAAGTTATAAATCTATTAAATTGATGATCGATTAGAAAATAAATATTAAATATTAAAAGATTATTCATTAGTTTAATTAATAGCCTCAATTTCATATTTTATAGTTATTATTTCTTTAAGAATCTTAATTATTTTATCGAATTCTAAGTTTATATCTTCACCTATTGTTTAATAATACATAATAAGATTATTTGATGAATCAATAAAACATTAAATTAAATTACTGTTTTGAATTGCAAACTTCTCTAACTCATAGATTTCTTTTTCAGAAATTTATATAAATTAAATCATACTTAAAGCTTTTTTCATAAAATCTTTTTAATTATGAGAAGTAGATGGTAAAAAAGAGAGTTTAGAATATAAATTATTAGCAAGTTATAATTTTTCATCTTAGAGATCATTAAGTTTTTTTATTTCCCTCATAATATACTATTTTTCTTATTAAAGTATTTCTATATCATCAATTTTATCACTATGTTTCAAAGTTTGACTTTTTTCATCATCCATTTTTTCTTTAAATTCTTAGATTTCTTATTATAATATTAATTCTAATAGTTTCATTAAATATTTCAATTTTTATAAATTATTAAATTATTCCATCTATTTTTATTATTAGAGAAATTCAACATTAAAAAAGTGTTTATTTTAATTAAGCTTAATAATTTTTAGTATATTTAATGTATTTTGATAATATTCTAAGAGATTATTAATTAGCTTTTAGATTTATTATTGGCAAGTGACTTAAGTTATCCTTGTATTAGCTTTTTTATTTTTTGTAAGATTTTACCAGCATTTAAGTACAATTCCAAGCTTTTCAACATTTTATTTAATTAATATTAGTTATTTATTTGGGAGAATGAAACCTAAAAACTTTTCAATTTTATTAATTGCATAAATATCATCCTTGTTGATATTTTTACTATTTAATTCTAGTTTACATTTTAAATATGATCCAAAGGTGTATTAATTATTTTCATTTTAATCATTCATTAAAAATTCTTTAAATTAAATAAAATTTTCCCATCCTTTAAAACTATCCTCTATTATTAATAGTTCATTTTATAATAATTTTTTATTTTAAAGTTAGTTTAATAGAATGATAGCTTAATCATGACTATGATTCACTTAAAATATAATTCCTTTTTTTTAATATTCTTTCCATTGCGAACTTGATGAATTCTATTCTAAATTTAGATATTTATTTGTCTGAATTAATTTTGTTTTTGTTAACAAAGGATTATAAATTAAGATTTTTCCAATCATTTAAATCCAACAATAATGATCTTTCCAATTTTTAGAATTTTTCACTAATTTATCATAAATCATTTCCATTTATGAAAGTATTTCTTCAAGATCTTTTTATTTATAATTTTTAAAATAATTTATCACTTCCCATTATAACATATCTAATTAATAATATACTTCATATTGTTTTTTCTTTTAATTTACAGTTGACATTTTTTACAAAAGACAAGCTCCTTGAAATAATAATTCTATTAAATCAACATCTTCACCCAATGTTAATATATATTTTATTATACCTTTTAAACATCCTTTTAAAATTTCTTCTTTATCTTCTTAATTTGTTGGAGCTATTTCAAAAGAAGTATTTGTTAAATTAAGATATAGTTCCATTTAGTTTTAAATTAAATCATTTTTTTCTATTTCCATTAATTATTCTAGTTCTGATGAAATCTATAAAAACTATCTTTAGGTTTCACTATTCATAAATCTCTCTTCATTAATCAAATGGAAGCTAAATATTACTTTAGATAAAGATGATGTAATCTACAGGATATACAAACATTTAAATGAATCTGTTCTAATATATATTAAACAGCTCTTTATTAGTCTAATAATTCCATCTAAAATTAGGTCGTATGATTTCTTGACATATTAGGTGTTCTTATTGAGATTATAGATATTTTCCTCTTAATAAATAAACCATTGAATAGCAATCATTATTTCTTAAGATTCCTATTCATTAGCAGTCATATGAGACTTAGAATCTATTATAGAAATATAATAATTAAATCTTGAAAAGAACTCATGAACATTTGGTTGGATATTATTGGAGTTTTATACTTAAACAGGATTCGATTTTGAATTTCCACATCCACCTCCTCTTAAGAAGGATTCTGTTACATAGTTTTTTGTTAACATCTTTATTAAGATTTTTTAATAATTCGACATCGGTATTGAAAATGTATTTAAACTTAAATATATATTTATATTCATGCCTGAAAAAAAATATTTACTGAAGTGATAAAACATTATACTATTCATTATCTAAATAAAAATATGATACCAAAAAGAACTTGTGATAATGAATCACGTATAGTTATATCTCTTATTAATTTTTTCAATAATTGTTATTATTTAACTAAAGATGAAACTTGATGATACAATAGTAATAGTTATTGAGGAATTCTTCATTTATATTTTTCATATGTCCATACTTAATTGATAATGGAATATTCAAAATAATTATTTGGAAATTCTATCCCATATTTATATAAACCTGTAATATTTCATCTTAAATATCAAATTTGGTTACAGTGCTTGTAAATATCGGCATATTGATTATCTTTTCTCCTAACATTAATTTATTATTATATTACATAAACAATTTAATAAAAAAATTCAACCAAAATGAATATTAATGTAATTAATCGAAATAAATCTATTCGTAATTTTTATTTTTGCTTTGTTCTACTAAATAGTATTTTCTACATATTATTTCTCTTTTCATATAATTTTTAATACAATATGTGATCTATTTATTTTTGATTTTATATCTATAAATATATTAATTTATTAAAAATTAACAGATTTCGATAGAATATAATGAAAATGCTAAAAGCTATTTGATAATTAACATTTTCAGAATTAATGTAGGTTTTTGGTAAACTTGAGATTTCCTAAATTTTATTTATAATTATTTTTATCTTTTTGAATTTCAGTTTGTTTAAGCTCTTGCTATTTAGATAATATATGATCATAAATTCATGTTACTGTCACATATATATATAAATATATTATAATGAAAATTTTTATATTAAAGAAACGAAATAATTATCTTTATACAATAATTATTAATCATCCAAAAAATACTAATCATATATACTTAAAAGGAGATAAATATATTTAAATTCAAAACATTTTTGAATATAATTCTTTAAATTAGGAAATTCTAACCAATTATATACACATATAAACATATTCAAGAATAATTTTGATTAATTTCAAATTCTTGTGGTATTATTAAATCAAAAAGTCATCATAAAATGGTTTATTTTTTTTTTAATTCAAAAATCTATACCACAATTTTATTTTTTGCCAAATTTATATACACAAATTAGTGACAATTAAAATCTTAAATTATTATTTTATTATCATAATCTTCTATAAACTTTAAGATTTTTAAACATTAAATTATTATTTCAAGCATAATTGCTCATACTTTGCTTAATATATGATGTTACCTGCTAATCTGTGATTTATTAGATAGGTGAGAAGCAATTAAATATCCATTCTTATTTTATATTGATTATAAAACATGTGATGGGATTATTTTCTTCATGATTTTTCATAATAAAATTGAAATTGTATAATAATGAAGGATAAACGCTGATATTTGTATTTGATATAAAAATATTGTGCTCTTTTGGTGTATATTCATTCCAGAAAACTTTCAGATTTGAATTTACAAATAATTATCATATATTAAAATGGACTGGCTTTCTTAATTGAATTGTTGTACTTATTCATAAAAAATCACCTATTTTTCATTTAAATTAACGCATTATGATCAAAGAAAGAGTATGTTATAATATAAGTCGATATTTAATTTTTATTATGAAATAATAGTTCATAAATAATTTTTAAGAAAAAATGTAACACCAGTTGAAAATATCAAATGAGATATCAATAATTTCTTGTTAGAAAATAGGTAGAAAGGGTTTGCCAAAACCAATTACTTAAAAACAAATACGTATATTATCTTAATTACTCTTTAATAATAAATAATTTATCATTATATATTTTATAATCATTCTTATTTTGTAATGCCTTTGAATTATATTACTTATTTAACAGTCAAAGAACTTTTTAGTTTTCAATAAAACTTCTGGGATTTATGTGGACTTGCAAAATAAAAATACTAGGAATTCAGAATAAAGATTCAATTTTGTTAATCCCAAAATCTGATAAGAAAAATAAAAATTATTGATGGATTGAATTAATATGAAGGATTAATTATAGTACGAGTAAACTGTAAAATAAATACAAGTCTATATAAGCAATGATTTTAAGTATCATAAAATAATGTACATATGTTAACTAGATAACGAAATTAAAAATCAATGTAATATATTGTTAAATGATAGATTATGATTCAACAACATTATATAAGATATCTATTAGTTTTCAAGCATAATTCATTAAAAAATAAATAGTTTTCCTATGCAGTCTCTTGAATTTATAAAAAATTACATAGTGTCAGATGAATTTCCTTCATACGGATTTTAAAGCTGAAATAGAAGACATCTAGCTTCTAATGAATATTATTGATAAAATGTTAATTCTTGCCAATAGTTTATTTTATATCTCCTTTAATATATTAAATATATCCAACTTTATAATTTGATTATAAATTTAATTTTTTAGACCTTTGTTAAAAAATCATAAAACAAAAATTAATCTCTAATGCAACTTTTAAAACATGCTCGTATTGACTAATTGAAAAATTTGTTATTTATTAATATCTGTTTGTGTTATTACTATTCAAAACCATTATAATCATAAGTCTTTGACAAATAAATCCTTTTACTTTTAAGAGAAAATTAAATTGATATTCCAAAAAATAAAACCTTAATTTTAGCAAAACATATTTTTATTCTTTCTGTTCAAAATAACATTAAAATTAGTCAAGGGGAAATGTTAAATATGAATAAGTAGAAATTAATAATAGGTGTTTCAAAGGATACGTCACCTACAAAAACACTCTTCGAATAAACATTAAGGTTTTAAAATATAATCAATCTAGCCTATTTTTAATGAAAACAAGCAATTATCCTAAGTTATTAAGCAAAAACATAAATTTATTGCTATAATATAAGATGAAACGCGCATTTTTTTGTAATGAAAATGAGTTAGTTATGTTATAAAAAAATTCTTCAAATATATAATTTAAAATGCCAATTCATCTTTAATTGTTTAACTGAAAAAAAATTATATATATTGATAATTAATTCTCAATATGACAAAACAACGAGAATGTTGTTCATAACCAATTGAATCACAAATATTGTTTTCAAAATTAAAATTAACTTAAAATCACTTCTCAAATGAATTAGGCGACTAATAATCAAAGACTTGTATTCTCAAGTGAGTTACCCGATAATCCAATGGCAACTAAAATGACATAAAAAGAAGATAAAACTTGTGGAGGAAGATTCAGATGGAATTTAATTATTAATGTAGTAATGGTAGCTATGGCAGGCTTTCCTTTCTACCTTCCCTTAGCTGCTACTTTGGGAGTAAATTGTTTTTATGCTTCATTATGGATTTTATTTATGTTTTTAGCAGCCAATACATAATCAAAAATCCACCTAACAATGAAAAAGGTTTCTAATCAGTCTGAATAACCTCCAAATCCTACTCCTATCAAATTTATATTGATGACATTTATATACAAAGAGCCTTTAGAATTATTATTAAAGACCCTTCAAAATATTTAACAACAAAGAATAGCTAAAGAGATAATTATGGTGGTTTGTATGGAAGAAAAAACACCAGAAAAGGACACAAAAATTAATTCCGTTTTTGAATAATTCAAAGACTGTTTTGATTAACTAATAATCACTGTACATCCTTATGGAACACCTGGAGAAATTCCAGGTAAATGTTCTAATAACAATTATGCCATTAGGTCTGTTTTAGCTCATTTAAAAAAGAATGAGCCTAACCTTGACCCAAATAAATACTTTGTAACTAATTTTGATGTTGATACAATCTTTCATAAAAATTTTCTTGATGTCTAAATGATGAACATCCTAAAAGAGAAAGATAGAAACAACTTTGTTTGGCAACCAGTTCTATTTTATAATTGGGGACTTGATAAACTTAGTTTTTTTACAAGAATTACAGGATTAGCAAGAAATATGTTAATGATGGGAGCCTTAATTCCTTTAAATATAAATATTATGAGTGTCTATACTTCTTCTTTATAATTACAAATAGAAGGTGATTTTTGTCATCCTACATATTAGATGGATGATATTATTTGCTATATTAGATGGCTTACATTAAGTAGAAGATCTCTTAAGATAAAACCAATATATTGTCCTACAATATCAGGACCTACTTCTGGTTCAAATATGTGGTAAGAATTCATTGAATGGGTCAGATAAAATAAAAGATGGAGTGTAGGATCTGCTGAAGTTTTCCACTATTTTGTTATTAAAGCACCAAGAATTAAGTTTTGCTCTGCTTTTATATGGGCTTGCAATTATCTAAATTATTATGCATCTTTTATTTGTGTTTAAAGTTTATTATTGATAACAACTACTATTAGACTATTTGTTATGGAAACTGATCCTAAATTATAGCTATATTTTTGTATCCCTTTGATAGTTGTATATATATGTCTTTTTTTCATGATGGTCATGAATAAAATTGCTGTTAAATATCTCCTAAAAGAAATTGTAGTTGAAAATATACCAATTTGGAAAGATTTCATTCATTGGATTTTAAGTCTCATAGTGATGGTTGGATATGGACTAACAGTGTTTTATGGATTCTGGGAAATTTTCTTTTGTGGAAAAGGTGTATGTACTCATGAACCTTCAAAGAAGAAATTACTTGATAACATTGTTCAACGTAAAGATGACACTGTGATAGCGATTAATGAATAACAGAATAAAATATGATGTAATTATGTATATGTAATGATAACAGAATCAATCATTTTTATGTTTTTATTTTATTTAAATTTTGTTTTGTAATTTATTACTTTTTTCTGTATCAAATGTTCATTTCTAACTTTATATTTTTTATTTGAATTTTTTCTCTTTATATTTATAATACCATAATCAAATATTATCAATATTGAGATCTTGCTAGATATTGATGATAATATTCAAGAATAATATAGAAAAAATAAAATATAAAAAACAATGAATGTAAAGTTAATATATTCATATATAATCATATTTTAATAACAATATCTATTTTTTTTCTCTCTAAATTTCTTTATAATTCTATCTATTCTATGACTTTAAAGTGTTACATACATTAAGATATATCTATATAAACTTCTTATGTATTTTCAGAGTTGAAACCTGATGATGTTGTTTCAAATTTTATGGTTTGAATTGTCTATACTAAAACCAACATGATGGTGATTTATTTCATCTAAATAAAAATTTAGTTTTCATTAACAAATTGGACTTACTATTGGTCATCTAATAAAATCAATAATTTCAGATCCCATAAAAAATAATCTTTTTGGTTCATCTATTTCTAATATACTCTTTATAGAAGCAACCATAACTTCGACCTATGCTAATAAATTATCTCTTTTTAAAACTACATAATCAGAAAAATCAAAGGTTTTTATATTAATTTTCAAAGTACTTTTTCAATTATAAACCTTGCCTTAGCTTTCGATAAGATTGAAAAGGATACAAGAATTTTTAGTTTCATTTAATTTTATTATTGAATTAAAATATAGCATAGTTTATAAGAATTATTCCCTGAAACTATACTTAAAATTAAAGCTGGAATGTAAAAGTCTTACTTTAATAATTCTTTTACTGAATCTTAACTTTATTATTATTTGCTAAGAAAATATAGAACCTAAAATTGAAAATCATTTGCCCTCAGTTAATGCTAAAAAATATAAAAAACTAAGGAAGTTTATTCAAAAGTTCTAAAACATTTGTTAATCAAATAACAGCTTAATAAAATATATAATTTTATATCATTATGTTTCTTTAATTAATTTAAACAATTTTTAAGAAAAAACTAATATAATTAGACTGCCTTCAAATTTTGAGGCGTAATTCTTGAACTTTATGTATCCTTCATCACTAAAATCTATTTTGAACAAATCAATAAAATCTATGAACTATAGATTAATGAACGAACCATCAAGTGAATTTCAAACACCTAATTTCAATATCGAGTAATCTAATACAAACTGTCTAATTGATTTTTAGCAAACTGTTATAGAGAAACCTGTTTTTTATTCATTTAAATTTTGAGTCTAATGTATGTTATTAATCATTATTATTGGAACTATTGAACTTTGGAAGATGTTTGCTTTAACAAAACATATTATAATCTTATATATGACTCAATGAAATACTAATAAAGATTATAATTATTGGCAATTGTTAATGATTAAATATTAAAGTAATTGAATAAACTATAAACATTAAGAATATTTTTTCTGATTTTAATTATAATATTTAATATCAATAATTGAATAAATTATTTTTTTATATAGAATTATTATCATGATGGTAAAAAGAATGTTTGTATAAAAATCTTATTCATCTTGTGAAAGCTCAATAAATATCATGGAATTTAATTAATCATTTTAAGTAATGTTTTTTAACAATATTTTAAAGTCATTGTTTATCAAAATTGAGAAATTAATTGTGATATATTGAATTAGTATATTTTTGAGACATTTCTGTTATTCTACCTTAATAAATAAGTAGTTAATAATAAAATATTTATTATTCAAGCTTAATTTAAGAAACATTGTATATTTTCTTAATAAGAACTTATAATTATTAAAATATGCAATTAATAAATATTTCATTTCCTACTTCTTTCTGAAAATACAAATAGTAGATAAGAGAAATAAATATAATCCATAATATAAATATGTACATATTGCTTAACTATTTTTTAACATGGAAAAGCATTAATTATTCATCTCTTTGATAATTGCAATTTGTAATATCAATGTTGATTTATCATACGCTTATGTAACATTTATTGATTTTTATTTAATATAAATAAGATTATGATTATAGATCACTGAAGAAGAACAATATAGTTTTAGAATTCTAATATTTGAAAGAAATGAATATATTTTATTTTTTATAAAAATGTAAAAATTGTTGTTCACAGAAGAAGGATTACAGATAATGAGAAGTAGGAATAGCGATCCAATAAAACAGAACACTGATAGTAAAGGGATATCAATAAGACCAAAATGTTTGCGAATTCAATCATTATCAAGATAATGTAACCGTGTTAGAGTTGGGACATTGAAGAATACTTTTAACTTGTCGAGTCCTGAAAATCTAATTTAAGTTTTGCCCTTTACAAGATAGAAACACAAGGCAACTAGTATACCTTAAGTGCTTTCGGTTGATTAATTATAAGGGAGATAATAGGAGGATTTGTTGTAAATGGCAGCAAGTCAATTGCATTTACCTCATGGAAGTGGGAAGGATGGAATGGGAAGACATCACTTATAATCAATTAGGTTAAGAACTGGTGATTGGTATTAATGGAAGAATATTCCAATGTTAGCATGTGTGGTGGATGATTTTTAGAAGAAGTTAAAGTATAGAAATTTGATTATAGAGATTGTAGTAAACATCTGAGGAGGAGGAACATATGAAAGTGGAGAAACGATAAATATAACATGAGTTTGAAATGAAGAAGGTTGATTAGATATAAAGAAAAACAAAGTAAAATTTGAATCAGGTTTTGGAATAGAAATCATTAACATATAATATTGATTTGGATGAGTTTTGGAAGTAGATGAAGGAAAATGTAATGAAATTATATATATAAAATTAAGAGTAAATACTTTTAACATCATACAGATGAGATGGCAAAGAGTAGGGCAAGTAAAAGAGAGAGATTGGAGAAATTTTAAAAGAAATTTACAGATAAAAAGTGTTATATCCCATAAATATAGAAGTAGAATGTTAATAATAAGGAAACAGCATATTATGATATATGAAAATAATTAATTATGGAAAAATTAATACCATTCATTAATGATCTGCACGTATAGAATTAATAATACCTTTCCTCTAGGATATACTGAGTTAAGCAGGATTGAGCAGTGAATTGAATTTACCATCAATAGTTGTTATTGGGTCTTAATCAGTTGGAAAATCATCTCTTCTTGAAAGTATTGTAGGTAGAGAGTTTTTGCCAAGAGGAAAAGGAATAGTGACAAGAAGACCTATAGAGATTTAATTACATTAGGTTTTGGATGCAGAATAGGGATGGTTTGAATTTATGGATAAGAAAGGAGAGAAAATATTTGAATCAGAAGATATTAGGAAATTAATAGAGTCAGAGACTGATAAAGTGGCAGGAAAAAATAAAGGAATTTCACCTGTTCCTATTAAAGTGAAATATTTTTCAAAAGATATTCTTGATCTTTAATTAATTGATTTACCTGGTATAACAAAGAATCCTGTTGGTGATCAACCATAGGATATAGAATAAAAAGTATTAGATATTGTAATGCCATTTATAAAAAATTAAAATAGTTTGATATTGGCAGTGTCTAAAGCATCTGATGACTTAGCAACATCAGATGGATTGAAATTAGCAAGAAGTGTTGATCCTAATGGTATACGTACTATTGGAGTAATTACTTAATTGGATTTGATGGATGAAGGATCAGATGCTTTAAATGATTTGCTTAATTAAACATATCCATTATAATTAGGATATGTTGGAGTTATAATGAGAGGATAGAAGGACATACAGAAGAATAAGACAATAATTGAATAACTTAAAGATGAGAAGACATTTTTTGAAAATCATAAGTTATATAAAAAGTATTCTGAGAAAATGGGTGTTAACTTTTTAGTAAAAACTTTGAATATGAATTTTATTTAACATATAAAGAAAGCATTGCCAATAATTAGAGAAACTATAATAAGTTTAGTTTAAATAAAAGAATTTGATTTAAAATAGTATGGAGATTATGATAATTTGGAAACTAAAGAGAATAAGAATTTACTTGTTTTAACTTTAATATCTAAATTCTCTAGTTCCTATAAGGATATGTTAGAAGGAAGATGTTTAGATATAACAAGTAAGGAATTAATTGGTGGATCAAGAATTATTTATGTTTTCAATGAAACTTTTAGAAGAACTATTTAGAGAATGAATCCATTTGATGTATTAAGTGATGATGAAATAAGAACTGCAATAAAGAATGCTAATGGAATTAGACCAACATTATTTGTTCCTGAAGGAGCATTTGAATTATTAGTAAGATAATAGATTTCTAGATTGAGAATGCCTTCAATTGAATGTTCTCATATAGTATTTGAAGAATTAAGGAGAGTAGTAAATTAAATTTCTATTCCAGAAATAGATAGATTTGATACACTTGCTAATAGAATTTCAGAAGTAATTGAAAATCTATTAAACAAATGTTTAAGATAAACTGAAGAAATTATATCAAATTTAATTGATATTGAATTAGGATACATAAATACAAGTCATCCAGATTTTGTTTCAGGTATGGATATGGTTCATAAAGATGAACAAAGATAATAAACATAAGTGTAATAATAGAAAGAGAAATCTCCTGTTTAGAGTGAAAATGAATCAAATAGATTCTTCAATTTTTGGCCATTCAAAAATAATAAATAGACAGAATTATATGATAGTAAATTGGATAATTTAAATAAAAAGAGAAAATCAAATATTAATAATCAAAAATAATAAAAATTATAATAAATAGAGGAAAGTTAGATATTGTAATAATAATCAGTGATTAATAAGATTGTATCTGTAAATTAATAGTATTTTGTTAATGATCCAAAAAGACAATTACCTTAAGTTCCAAATACAATTAAGATAACTGATAGACCATCTAAAAGAGAATAAACAGAGATGGATATGATAAAAGATTTATTGGTTTCATATTTTAATTTGGTTAAGAAGAATATTTGTGATTCAGTTCCAAAGACTATAATTACATTTTTAGTAAATTAATCTAGAAATTTTTGTGAAAGAGAATTGATTGGAATGTTATATAAATAAGAATTAGTAGATGAATTATTATAAGAGAATCAATTTATACAAAAATCAAGAGCAGAAACAAAATAATCTTTGATTAGTTTAAGAACATGTTTGAATTTGTTGAATGATTTAGATTCTAAATTCTGAGATTATTTAATAATAAAATTAATTGAAATTCGTTAAAAAACACATATTATAATTAATCTTTTAATTAATATTTTTATTTGTTCAATGCTCAATCCAGACCTAATCTAAGAATTTGAAATGAATGGATACAATTTACCAAAAATGGATAAAGTATAATGTATCAATCAAATTAAATACTTACTTTAAACTCATCCTATAGATTTTGACTTTATTGTAGCTAATACTAAATTAACAACCAATTAAAAGAATATATTGTAATAATAAACACATATTTCAAATATCCTTAACTCTCCTAATGATTATAAGTTTACATGTCCACTTTTTGATTTCAAATAATTGAATGAATTACTTCCTAATAAAAATAGATTAAAGATAAATGAAATTAAGTCTAAAGTTGAAAACCTTTTAAATAATAGTCATATAGATCCACCATAAACAATTAAAAAAAGGTATAATAAATTTATTTAATATATCAATTAGATGGTGGACAGAAGATGAAGATCAATAACTTAAAGATTTAGTCTCTTAATATGGTGCTAAAAATTGGAAGAAAATAGCATCCTTTTTTTAAGACAGAACAGATGTATAATGTTTGCATCGTTGGCAAAAAGTTCTTAATCCTGATCTAGTTAAAGGTCCTTGGACTCAAGAAGAAGATGAACTTTTAGGTAAATTAGTACTTGGTTATGGTCCTAAGAATTGGAGTCAAATTGCCAAACATTTACCAGGAAGAATAGGAAAATAATGTAGAGAAAGGTATATTTAAAATATTAAATAAGATTTCATAATCATTTAGATCCAAAGATTAATAAAGAAAGATGGACAGATGAAGAAGATTAAACTATTATAGAAGCTCATAAAAAATTAGGAAATCGTTGGTCTTTGATTGCTGGATTATTGAAAGGTAGAACAGATAATTCAATTAAAAATCATTGGAATAGTACATTAAAGAGAAGACTTAAAATGTAAAATAGATGGGAAGATTTGTAAGTATTATAGAATTAAGATGATACATAAATTAAAGGAATTCCAAGAAGACATATGTAAAGAAAAATTATTTATTAAAAAACACCAGTCAAAATGATTAAACATGATCCTGTATCAAGGTAATTGAATTTTTAAACTCCATAATAATCTCCATCAAGTAAATATAATAATTATTATTTTTATCTAGAAATGGAATAAATTTCAAAGAGTTTATTTATTGTATTCCCAAATTTAAATTCAAAGTTACTAAATCTCTCAAGTTCGATTCTTATCAAATAGTTGAGTGAGTTGGTTAATTTTGATCTTGATTTCAATAAACAATATAGTTATGAATGAGTTTAATATTCAATTAAAAATAATATTATAACAGAATATAATAGATTTCAGAATATTTAATTAAAAACAGATTCTTTTAATAAATTATAAAGATTATTAAAAATGGAATATCGAAGATTAGGAGCAACAGGTCTTAAAGTATCTGCCATTAGTTATGGAAATTGGGTAAATTCTGATGACTAAGCTACCCAAGACAGAAATACTCAAATCATATAGAAAGCATGGGAATTAGGAATCAACTTCTTTGATACTGCCGAAGTTTATGGAGAGGGCAAAGCAGAGATACACTTAGGACATGCACTTAAAACTCTCAATGTTCAAAGATAAGATATTGTTATAAGTACTAAAATTTTTGGAGGAGATGGAAATGATTTTCCAAATTCCAAATATTTATCAAGAAAACATATCATTGAAGGTATTGATTTTTATTTAATATTAGGCTTGAGAAACTCTTTAAAAAGATTGGATACTCCATATGTTGATATTGTTTTTGCTCATAGATATGATTATTCAACACCATTAGAAGAAACTTGTAGAGCATTTGATTGGGTTATCAGACATGGTTTGGCTCATTATTGGGGAACAAGTGAATGGACAGCTTAATAAATTCATTAAGCTATTGGTATTATTATTATTTATTAAATTTAGGTATCTGTGATAAATTATCATTACATAAACCAGTTGTTGAATAACCATAATATAATATGATGGTTAGAGATAGATTTGAATGGGAATATGAAAGTGTATTTGCTGCTGGATATGGATCCACTATCTGGTCTCCATTATATTAAGGATTGTTGACTGGTAAATACAATGAAGATATTTTGGCTGATGGAAGGTTTAAGAATTCTGATAATGTATATGTTAAACTCTTTTATCAATAAATATTAGGTGATCCTGAAAGTATATTATATATTAATAATAAAATAGAAAGAACTAAAATATAAAATTAATTAAAACAATTAGGTGAAATAGCAAAAGAGTTGGGAGTCACATAAGCTTAATTATCTCTTGCATGGGCACTTAAAAATAAGGATGTAAGTACAGCCATTACATCAGCCACTAAACCTGAATAATTAGAAGAGACTGTGAAATCTGTTCAAGTTATTAAGTTGATCACCAAAGAAGTTGAATAAAAGATAGAATCTATTCTTTCAAATAAACCTACAACATCATTGAACTTTAAGTAGATGGCACCTTATCCAACAAGAAGAGATTTGTACATTTGATAATTATAAACATTAATTATCATATATATATATTATAGAATAAAATTATTATTGTTATTATTATTACTAAAATGATATTGTGTTAAATGAGTGTTACTATATTATAAATACTGTTTATATTAATTAATGTTAAATATTGTATAAGATTTATAATTTATAGCTTTTTATGCAACCAAATATTATTAAAAAATATAGAATTGAAATATAATTAAAACTAATTTTTAATTTTATAGAATAAATTAATTTTATAGAAATGATGTCAATATTAACTATTGCATTGTGTATCACATTGATCACTTCTACAACATTTGATCTTTACTAAATTTGTAATTGCTCATAACTAATTTTTCAATATGATTGCTTAAGTGCTATTTTGGAATGTAATTGGGATTATGATAATAATGAATGCTATGATAAACCTTGTTCTGATATTTATTATTAAAATGCTTGCTTATAATAATCAAAAAGATGCTATTGGGCACAGAGTAGTTGCTTTAACTTTACTTCTTGTGGTTAAATGCTAGAATCAAAGTATAATTACGATTGCTAAGGTTAAAACTATTATTGTCCTTAGTATTATTAATACTATTGTTTATCTATATCAGATGTTTAAGAATGCTCATCTATCACTGACCCTGATATTTGCAATTATTACTAGTCATTATAAGGAATTTGTTTCTGGAATGGTTAGAGTTGTACTTTAGCATAATCTTGTACTCAACTCTTCAATAATGGCTCTAGTAATTGTCCTAGGTAATATTGTTAGAATTCATGGGATCAATCATATTAACAAGAATTTTGCTCTCCAAATTAATGCAGTAATTAAACAACCTAATCATAATGTGCTTAAGGAATATAAACATTTGGACCTTATTTACAAAATATTATTGGTTGTTATTGGAATCCTATAGTTAATCTTTGCCAAGAATATGTACCTTCTTAAATGAATTATGCAAACTGTTATCTCTACAGTAGAGGAACCTACTATTGGAACAGTAAAACTAAAGAAAATGGTGATTGTGTACCATGCTCTTAATTTTAAGAATTGTTAATAATATCTATTTTTATTACAACTTTAATTTGAATAGCATTAAATTTTTTAAATATAGAATATTCATAAAAATAATATTTAATTATTTATTTTTCTATAAATATCCAACTCTATGGTTACAAAGCCTGAATTGGTTTGGATGAATTTTATGTAGAAATTTTTTAAATTAATAATAATAAAAATTGTAATCAAAATAATTTATAATAAGTTATGAAAAGAATATTCCTCAAAAAACATCATCAACGCATCCTTTTTATAGGTTTTAGTAAAATGATCAGATTCCAAAAGTCCTGCTAATTAAAAACAATACCTATATAAAATAAATTGCTGGTTAAAATTTTATTGAAAAATTATCGATTTGACACATAAAGAAAAATTTCATTCTGTACTGACTAAAAAAATATTCAATACTATAAATTATTTATTAAATTATTTATTAAAACATTTCTTAAAATTAGGATTTAAATAAGTAAACAGTATTTTTCACTATTAAAAAGCAAAGAATTTTTGAAATTTTAGATTTCAGTTCATAGTTCTGAAGGACTTGTATTTAAAGATATAAAATATTAATCAAAACACCAATATTATTTCTCAGAAAGAAATTTAAATTCAAGAAGTAATTTATGTCAGGCTTAAAGACAGCATATCATAAATTGTAATTTTAGGGAGCATAAGATCAAAAAATTATTTATTCTTGACTGTATTTTGTAAAATGTTAATATAATTATGAAGAATGTTGTTCAGTTAAAGAATTTACTTTTTAAGAGGCTAAAAACAATAGTTTTCATAGAATTTAACCTTCAAAAATCTTGATTAAGAATTTTTAATAATTTTCTTTACCTATACTAATAAGTGAATGATAATCAAAATAAGTTTAATAAGAAAATCAATAGCAAATAACTTTCTTTAAAATTCAAAAGCTTACAACAAGAAACTTTGTTTAAGTCACATTTCCAAAATATGATATAGAGGACTTATTATGACAATGAATCTTAATTATCCTTTTTGGGTACTTCTATGATTACTTAATTTATAAGTGTCAATTATTTGTATATTCAATAATAATTATCATATATATATTATAGAATAAAATTATTATTATTATTATTATTATTACTTAAATGATATTGTGTTAAATGAGTGTTATTATATTATAATACTGTTTATTTTAATTAATGTTAAATATTGTATAAGATTTATAATTTATAGCTTTTTATTCAACCAAATATTATTAATAAATATAGAATTGAAATATAATTAAAACTAATTTTTAATTTTATAGAATAATTAATTTTATAGAAATGATGTCAATATTAACTATTGCATTGTGTATCACATTGATCACTTCTACAACATTTGATCTTTACTAAACTTGTAATTGCTCATAACTAATTTTTCAATATGATTGCTTTAGTGCTAGTTTATAATGTAATTGGGATTATGATAAAAATGAATGCTATGATAAACCTTGCTCAGATATTTATTATTAATCTGCTTGCTTAAAATAATCGAAAAACTGTTATTGGTCATAGAATAGTTGCTTAAACTTTACTTCTTGTTCTCATATGCTAGACTCAATGAATAATAATTGCAAAGAGAAAAACTATTATTGTCCTTAGTATTATAAAACATAGTGTTTATCTTTAGATTATATTTAAACTTGTTAATCTATCACTGACCCTGATATTTGCAATTATTACTAGTCATTATAAGGAATTTGTTTCTGGAATGGTTAGAGTTGCATTTTAGCATAATCTTGTGCCTAATTTTACAATAATCTCACTAGAAGTTGTCCTTAAGAATATTGCTATGTTACATGGGACGAATCGTCTCATTACGGACAGTGTTCTCCATATATATGCAGTAATTAAACAACCTAATCATAATGTGCTTAAGGAATATAAACATTTGGACCTTATTTACAAAATATTTTTGGATGTTATTGGAATCCTTAACAAAATATTTGCCAATAATAACCATATTAAATGAATTATACAAACTGTTATCTTTATAGTAGAGGGACCTACCATTGGAATAGTAAAAATGAAGAAAATGGTGATTGTGTACCATGCTCTTAATTTTAAGAATTGTTAATAATATCTATTTTTATTACAATTTTAATTTGAATAGCATTAAAATTTTTAAATATAGAATATTCATAAAAATAATATATAATGATATAAAAGGCTTATTATGAAAATGAATCTTAATTATTCCTTTTTGAGTAATTTTCGATTACTTAATTTATTGGTGTCAACTATTTGAATATTCAATAATAATTATCATTTATATATAATAATATAGAATGAAATTATTATTGTTATTACTAAAATGATATTAAGTTAAAAGAATGTTATTTTATTATTAATGCTTTTTAATCTTAAGTATTATATGAGATTTTATAGTTTATTTGAACATATTATTATTAATAAATATAGAATTGAAATATAATTAAAACTAATTTTTAATTTTATAGAATAATTAATTTTATAGAAATGATGTCAATATTGGCTATTGCATTGTGTATCACATTGATCACTTCTACAACATTTAATCTTTACTAAATTTGTAATTGCACATAACTAATTTTTCAATATGATTGCTTAAGTGCTGGTTTAGTATGTAATTGGGATTATGATAATAATGAATGCTATGATAAACCTTGTTAAGATATTTATTATTAAACTGCTTGCTTATAATAACCACAAAGATGCTATTGGAGTGCTGGTTGTTATAATTTTACTTAATGTGGTGATTTGTACTATACTTCAAGTTTCTATTCTGTATGCCATGGATATAACTACTATTGTCCAGAATTTTAACCACCGTAATGCACATAAGTTTATAATATTCATAATTGTTCATCAATTGATGACCCAAATATTTGCAATTATTATTAGTCTTTGGAAGGAATTTGTATTTGGACTGGTATTATTGGTTAGGGTTGCACTTTAGCATAATCTTGTGCTCAATTCTTCAATAATGCAACTAGAAGTTGTCCTTAAAGATTTTGTTATTATTCATAGGACAAATTTGAAACTTGTGCTCCAATATAATGTAGTAATTATTTAGAAGAAATTTAATGTGCTTAAGGAATATAAACATTTGGACCTTATTTAAAAAATATTGTTGGCTGTTATTGGAATTCTGAACAAAATGTTTGCCAAGAATATGCACCATCTTAAATGACTCATGCGAACTGTTATCCTTATAGTAGAGGAACCTACCATTGGAGCAATACAGATGAAAAGAAAGGTAATTGTGTTCCTTGCTCTTAATAATTATTAATAATATCCATAATTTTAACAATTTTAATTTGAATTACATTATATATGATTTAATTATACAAATTAACTTATATTTATTTGAATTTTACATGATATTACTATTTAGTATCTTTGATATTTAGATGACAATATTACATTGAATATAAAAACAATGTTACAATTATTTATGTATATTACACATATTGAATAATTATTAGTCAGTTAAGAAAATTATTAGTAATTATAGAAATCACTTGATTAATTTATTGTTTGATAAAAATATTATTTCATTAATAATCACTCATTATTCAATTGATATTCTTATCTTCCAAAATATCATTAAAGCGATAATTTTTTTTTTTAAGCTTATGGTTTAAGTGAGAATAAGTAAGAACTTTATTTTTTTCACATTAAAATATCAATATTAACAAATTTTTATAAAAATAGCTCATCTAAGTGTAATAATTTTCAAAATAGAGAATTATATGTATGTATTAAATATGATAAAATAATATTGAATTATAATTTAAGATATATATATTTGAAAGATAATTAAAATATAATTTAAATATAAGTTCAACAATATTTTATATTTCAACCTGTGTAACATACTATTATAATTAAATTTTAAGTTTTATAAATATGAATTTTCAACTAAAAATTTATTAATATAATATAATGGTAACAATTATTATTGAGTTCAGAAAATATATAATAATACATTTAAATTAGGTAGATAATCATAATCATGATGGATTTCTGCTAGACAGGGATGGGACATTATTAAAAAATAGTTTATGAATATCAATTGTTTATTATTCCAATTGATCGAGAGTAGCATTTTATAAGAAACTATTCACCTAAGAGGGACAAGTTAAATCAGAAATTTATAAGACCTTTTTGAGTTCAAAAAAATTGATATCTCTATGTTATTTAATGTTATCGAACTTGAAATCAAATATTCTATTTATGGTCATACAGATAATAAGTTATAATCTTATTCTAGCATAAAATTTTCCATCATCTGATTCTCTTTCTTCTTTAACGAATTTTTCCAATTCATAATAACAATGTTATAAACATCTTCTATATGGAAGTTTAAATTATTCAAAACGATTTAATTAACAGGTCTTTATTATAATAAATATTACATCCATAAATGCACCATCTTATATTAATTTTTTATTTAATAATATTTCTTCAAAACTAGGTTTCTTCTATTAATAATCAACTTCTAATGATAGATTATTTAATTTTTTTTAATCTGTTTAAATTTAATATTTTAATTCAAAGATATGATTTTTTAGTTATTTTGAGTTTTTAATAAAATTATTCCATTCATCCTAAGATACTTTAAGAAAGTTTATTTGATCCTTTATTAATAAAATAAATTCTCTTTTTATAATGATAAGCATATTCAAGAGACATAATCTAGTCCAAGTTAAATATGGAGATTAGGCAATAAGATCTAAAGATTAAATTTCATTTTCCATAATATAGAATTTATAATATTGAAAATGTAATTCTCTCCATATTATAGGATAGAGTTGCATTTCCTATAAAATTATAGGGATATAATACTTCATCTGATTTATTATACAAAGACATAAAAATTGGTTACTAATCAATAGGTGGTAACAATAAGAGTTAAGATTGTTTTTAATATCTTGTGCTAAAGATTAAAATTTTAGTTTTTTCATTAAATTCTTTAGGCTATAATATATGAATTGAATGATTACAACTGCCCATTCTGGATTAAAATTTTCTCTTTTTTTAATGGAAAAATTAATTTGAGGCAAACTTTATGGTTTTTTATAGAATTAACAAATATGATCATTTGATGGTACACATTTAAAGTGAATGTGTAAATCTTCAAAAGTAATTCTTTTTTATTCTGAAGGATGTAACATTTTGGCAACAAGGGATGCTAATTCTTTAGGTAATTTCTTCTTATCTAATTATGAATAAAATTTATTATATTCTTCTTTTGTTTTAAAATTATTCAATATACTCGATGTTAATAATTAATAAAGTATACATCCCAATAACCACATATCAATTCCTAATGAATATTAATTATTATTAAGAGACTCTGGAGGTATTAATTGAAGGTTTGGATAAAATCCAAATACTGAGAGTATTATTTAGTTATTTTAAATGTATATGTTTTAAATAGTAAAACATCTACCTAAAATTCCTTATTGATGTAACACATACAATCCAATTAATAATTACTTAAATAAATCAGTTATTTCTTGTACTGATAAGTTTGCTCTAGAATTTATTAATTATTCAAGAGTGATTCCATTTATACCTGGAAAATAATATAATTAGTCTTGTTCAAATTCACAAGGTTCTCTAAGGTGCTATCCAGTAATTTTTTGTTCTTTCTCAAAGAATACAAATAATTCTTCATATATTACTTTAGCTACTAACATTTACTCTGAATTTATAAATTTCGGAGTTAAAATAGCCATAGTTCTAAAATTGAGTTCAATTTCTTCAGACATTATTATTAATTTAAGGAAAATATATAAATAAACTTAAAGAATCCAAATAATATTTAATTATTTATAGAGATGATTTTATTATATATATATATACTTAAATCATAATTATAGTTAAATTATTATGTCAAATCCATAATAAAAATATTTATCTCTAATTAATTTAATATTAATATTCAGAATAGCAATTAACGATAACATTAATATTCTAACAGTAAAAATAATGATGTCTGAAGAATTAATGTATCTTTCTATTAGTTTAAATGTGAAATAAAACATTTTTAATTAAAAAGAATTTATTGTCAAAATAATCATACTTTAAATAAATATTCAAAGATCACTTAATTAATCCTAGTATTAAATTATTAACATTAGTTTCAAATTTTCAAAATTTCTACTTTTATATAATATAAATTTATGATATATATATATCTGTAAAGAATTAAAAATAAGATTATAGGTAAATAATTACATTCAAATTTTTTATTCAATCTCATCATTTATTTTATAATAAATAATAATATTTATGACATTGGAATATTGCAAATTCTAATTAATATTATATCAAAAAAAATACTAATTATCAATTTATCATATTATATGTGATTATTGTTTTCGTTTTTCTTTTCTAGTTATTCTTCTATATTTTCTTATTATTTTCATGTCTGTTATTAAACTTATTTTATCAGTTTTCTCAGCTAGTCTATTAATCCCTATTAAGTTATCACAATATTTATTTAAAGTATATTTTGAATGGCATACTTCAGGTTTGTCTTCATAAATCAAATAATCTGCTCCAAACTAATTACTGTATATTTTCATAGATTTACTTTACCACCTTCCCTTATATGATAATCACCAATTCTCTATTGATTTACTTCTCCATTATAAACTATTTGATCTATTTTACAATTTTTAGCCAAAGGAATTTCAAATGTATATTCAACACCATCTTCCTTCTTATATTAAAACATTTCAATAATATTATTATTATATAAACTTAAATGTTTTAATCTTTAGAAATATAATTTACATTAATATCAAGTCTAATTACTATCTATATATACATATAATCTTTTTTGATATATATGTTTTTTGAATTAATAGTTCTCTTAGTTTATTTTTTTTAGTTCAATTATTAAATATATTATAATCATGTGTCAACTAGTTGAGCTCTACCCTAAATTTTCACTTTAAACTCTATTAGCTGATTGATTGCTTTTATTACTCTCACTAATACTCATTATTTTAACATTTTTATAGCTAGATAATTAATTAGATAAATCAGAGTTATTTTTATTTGGCTAATCCCGAAGATCTTAAGTTTCGTAATAAGTTTCTTGTTATTGATTTTCTAGATTATTAGTAACTTAAATAGAATTAATTTCTGGATGTTGATCCTAATTTATTATCATTGAACTATTGTCAAATTGTTACTTTTTTTAATTTTAGATAGTATCTGCAGTGATACCATTTGTTTCTTCATCCTAGATTTGTTCACAACAATTACCCATTCGATTATGGATAGAATTAATTAATAATTTAAGAAATTTGATTAATTCAATTTATATAATGATGCAAATTCTATTAGTGATTAAATTGTATTAGTTTAATAAATCATTAAACTCAAATTCATTTCTTTTTTGCTATTATTGATAATATTGCAATTATCCAAGATAACCCTTTATCTAATTAACTTATATTATCTTTGAAGAATTTTTAAAATCCTCCATCAATAACCATGAATTTCTTCATGTGATAAATTGAAATATTTTCTAATTCCTATTTTGATAATAATTTTTATTTAGAAACATCTAATTTAAACGGAAATGTCTATTCTCCTTTTTTGAATAAGAATTATATTTCAATCTCTTATTTTTAATTACTTTCTTAGTCTTAAGAACTCTAAGTAAAATCCTAATTTTGTTACCCATTACTATTTTAAGATTATTACTTATCAAATTCCATTTTCAGAGATGTATCTGATAAGACCTAATTTAAAATTAATGCCTAATACTTAAAATGCCTCTCTAACTTCAGAATATTTTATTTCATCTTTTGTTTATGAATCTGGATGATATCTTGATGCCAATTTTAAATATGCTATCCTTATATCAGCTTAATTTGCTGTCTTTGGAATTTTTAGTATTTAATAATAATCCTTAGTGAATTTTGTAAGACCAGAAATCCGACTAAATGCATTATAGAGTCTATATGATCTAAGCATTATTATAAATGAATAATTATTTTGAATATTTAGTAAGTGTATAAAATTTAAATCATATTGAGCTATTTAATATATTATTAAAATCTGATATAAGTTATTATCAAACACATAGTTATAATTACAAAATGAATACAACCAAACTACATTATCAAAAGAATTTAACTCATTAGATTGTCTTCATGATATTCTATATAATTTATATTTAATAACACCTATAATCAGATTAAATAAATTTATTATATGTTAACATAACCAAACTAGCTTAATACACCTTCAACTTAATTCAGTTTACGAACTCCAGAAAAGAATGTTATTACAACACCTCATTAAATAGTGCTTTATTTTTCTTATTTTTTAGTAAAGTGATATCTATACAAATACTCCTATAGATTCGAGAAGAATGATTATATTCCCATCTTAATCTAACTATTATTTGCCAGGAACTCTCGTCCCTTGTTAAGATGTTTATGTAGATACTCATAATCCTATATAAAAATAACCAACTCATTCTATGGCAAATATTGAAGAAAATCTTAAGATAATTACATAGAAATATTAAGAAATATCTAATTAATTAAAAGTAGAAAATCAAGAGCGAATAGATATTGAAAACAAATTTTAGTAATTATAATCATAAAACAAAGAGTATTCATAAATCTAATAAAAATAGGTTAAAAGAAGAATTAATTAAATAGAAACAAATATGTAAATAAATGGAGAATTTTAGTAAGGAATTGTAGTAAAAACTATAAAATTAAGTTACTATCATATCAAGTCATTCTTCTATTGAAAATTAAAATTAACAGAATGATGTAAGATAAAAAGAAATCGAAATAATAGAATTAAAATAACAATTAGATAATGAAAAATAAAAATCATCTAATGAATCAGATAAATTAATGAAAAGATTTAATATCATTTTTTAAGAATAAAAAAACTTAAATCAGAAATTATTATAAGAAAACATTGACTTATAAAAATTACTACGTTAAATTGATAATAATTAGAAAATATCCTAAAAGTCAAAATCTAATTTATTGGATGAATCACAACTTAAAACAATTGTAGAACAATTTTACTTTGATAATAATGAAGAATGTTTACTTAAAATTCCTAATGAATAATAATTACAAGCAATTAAAATTCTTAAGTTAATTTCTACATCATAAAATTAAAATTAATAGAATCCTATAATTAAGTAGAAAGAAGAAGATAAAACAGAAAGTAAATTGAATATCAAATAAGAACTTAAAGAAAAGTAGGAGTAATTAATAGCAGAGATTAAGAATTAAATGGGTAAATTTATTGAGTAAAAGGTATATTGATTTGTATTATTTAAGAATGTTTAATAGAAAGACATAATGAATTTTTAAAATGAGTCAGAAGAATTAAAAAGATAATTGAATTAAATAGAAAATTTAATATTAGAAATGGAGTAAAGTCCTAAGCATAATCCTCATAAAAATAGTTGTGTTTCATTTGAAAATAATAATTTTTATTGAATATAAATATTTTATAATTTCATAAGATAAAAGAAACATATTCATGTTTAAATTTATAATATTAATTTCCACAATATAGAATATATCTTAAATATTACACAAATAGATTAAATTTAAACACAAGAATTTTCGAAATTAAATTTGTCATTAAAATTTATTAATTATGAAATTTAATACATTTATCTTGATAATTTGTACAGCTCCTCTTATAAACTCATCATCTTTGGATATAAGAAACAGTTGCAATTGTTCTCAATTAATCTATTTTAATGATTGTATAGCTAGTTGTTCAGATTGCTCTTGGAATTCCTACACTAATTAATGTATTGAGGTAGCATGTTCTGATTTAGAATTATCAAATCATTGTCTATTATCATCTTAAAGATGCTATTGGTTTAATAAGAGATGTAAAAATTTCACATCTTGTGAAGCTATACCAGGAAAAGATCAATCTGAATGTATTTCAGCTAATCTCTATTGTCCTGCTTCGAATGGTATTAATTGTTTATCAATGGAATACTAAGAGAAATGTTCAGATATTAGAGATCCAGATATTTGTAATAACTATTATTCTTCAAATGGCAAATGTATGTGGAATGGTCAGAATTGTATCATACTTAAATCATGTACTGATTTATGGACCAACTCAACTAAATCCTGTTTGTAAAATGGTTGTTATTTTGATTCCTTATCCTATTCATGTAGAGATATGACATGTTCTAGACATGAATTACAGTCTTCATGTGAATTGGGAGTACCAACAATTGGTCCATATTTAAATAATATTATTCCATGTAAATGGGATACTAATAGTGGAATGTGTAAAGATGCCAAACCTGAAGACTATAATGTTGATTAATGTTATAGTTATAGTTCTAGGACTTACCATTGGAGTAATAGTAAGTCTAGTAAAGGAAAATGTGTGCCTTGTAAAAGTTCCATATTTTCATTTATACTTGTATCAGTGTTGACAATTATTATTTGATAAAAATATTACAAAATCATATATAATCCTATACATAAAAGAAATATATATTAAGTTTATAGAAATTTTTTTATGAGTTTCTTTTTCATAAAAAATGAAATAACAAATTACTAAATTTCTTTTGATGATCCATGAAAATAAGGCTGAATGTAAAATTAAGATCTATAAAAAGAATTTTACAGATGAGTGGTTTTATTCTATGGAAGTTGTTTAATTAGAAGCATTATTATAAATTTTTAAATATAATATGTTAAACGAATTAATCCAGCTATTTTGTAACAATGGGACTCATTCTAGTGAGTTATTTTATAATGCTACGTTACAATTAAATGAATTTTTGGATAAGAAAGATATAGTAAGATGCTTTCCGAGAGTTTCAGAGAACCTTGGAGATTAATTGGTATAGGATATTGATGGATAATTAATAGCCAAATTTAAGAAAGGCATCCCATCAGCTTTTCCAGGCATATATTCGTGTTAATCAGAATTTTGATGCTGTACTTTAAGCAATTCTTAGTAGAGGTCTTGTACATCCGAATGTATGAATATTTTAGTTATATAATATAAGTGGTTGGTAAGATAAAAGAATGTGAATTCATTGTAATCACTATTTTTGTCAGAAGGATAACATTTATAGTCAGGAAGTGGTGTAATTAAGAATATGATAGAGATGTTGTTAGAGAAGTTGTGCGATTGTAATACAGCAGTTTGTAAGGCTACAGAATAGGTATGAATATGTTAATATTGATTAGACTTTGATATCTTTGATAAGTTTGAATTAATATAAGTAATGTCATATATAATTGCCTATGGGAATACAATCTTAAGTGGAGCATTTTGTAGAGTAGATGAAGGAGACCAATTAGATACGACATGAGTTTAGATTGAGAGAACCAATATCTAATGGATTACCATTTGATAAGTTAGAAGACTTGAAAGATACATAATGGTAGATGAGAGCTGAAGCAATACAAAGAATATATGAAGAACTATAAGATGTGGTCTTAACTCCATTATAAGTAGAGGTCTTGTTTGATCATATAGTAAATTTAGTGAATGATCATAATTTCAATATTGTGTTAACTACTTTATAGATAATGCAAAGATGTTTGTAATTCAATATTGTGAAGAGTAACAACATAATTAATATATACACTAAGTTAGGGGATTCTAAATCAGCAATTAGAACTGCTGTTAGATAAGTTTTGGTCATGTATTTGTAGAAAATTGGAGATGGTGAATTGCTTATTCAAATATTGCAATAGCCAAATAAGAATTCTTTTTACAAAGAAGAATTCTTAGATTTACTTATTGATCTAGTCTAAAGAAATAAGATGCTGGTAACCTGATTCCTCAATATGCAGCTTTCACAATACCTCGAGTTGGCCATCAAAGAAGTGGCTCCTTTCCTCGAGGACCAGAAATAAAAACTGCGTTCTAAATCCATCGAAACCCTAACTTAGTTGGCCACAATCAATTAGCCTTTGACCAAGCGAGTGTTCTCATAACTTGGCATTACTGAAGATCTCTTTAATCAAATAGATGTCAGTACTGCTTCTTCCAATAAATCTGATCTTCCACAAATGCGATTCAAAAAAGAACAAAGAGAATAAAAAGATCCTAAAGATCTTAAAGAATTATATACACAATCTTTACCTGAACCCAAAAATCTGTAATAATTTGATATACCCATTTTCTAATCATAATAACAAGGTTATGTACCTACTATCATTTCCCAACCTTAAAAATAATAAAGAAGTGCCTAAAAACCAGATTCTCATCCTTAATCTTCCAGTGTTGAATTTAGACATGCTTAATAATAATAAGAATATAATTAACCTCCAGCAACATAATAAAGCAAACCATTTAGAATAGTTAAAAATCCATAATAAGATATTCCAGATTAAGATGCAGGTCTTACATATACTAAACCATTCCAAAGGAAACCAAAAACTGAAGCTGATAAAACATTCTAACCAGTTTATTTGGATTCTGTCATGCCATTAGATTAACCAGAATCAATCTTAAAGACATTATTGAATGAATTAAGATATGATGATTGGATTAGATAATTTGAAGCACTCAATAATTTAAGAAGGTTAGCCAAACATAATACTGAATTACTTAAAAAATCAATTAATTTTCCATAAATCTTATAAGAAATGGTAAAATAAATTGAAAATTTAAGAAGTGGAGTATCTAAAAATGCATTGATTTCTTTATAAGAACTTAGTGATATCTATAAAAAAGATTTGGATTTTATTATGGATTAAGCACTTTAAAAATTAATTAAAAAAGCAATTGATCTCAACACATTTATAAGTGAAGAAGTAAGAAAAGCCACAATATCTTTATTGTAAAATTGTACAGAATCTAAATCTATATCTCTAATAGCCTAAGTTTATCAAAGCAAATCTATTGCAATCAAAGTGAATATTTGTTATGGATTAAATAATCTATTAGATCCAAATAAATAACAATTTGAAAAAATGTTGTAAATCCTTTGTTTTTATGCTTGTGATCAAAGTTAAGAAGTAAGACAAGTTGCAAAAGAAGGATTGCTTAGTTTAATGAGTTAAATTGATAAAAGAGAATTAGAATCATTAATAATCAAATTAGCACCTGATGGAGAATGTAAACGTATAATGACAATTATAAATGGTGAATCTACTACAACATCAGAATTTAGAAAATTTGGTACTACTTAAACTAAAGAAGCTAAAACACCAGAACTAAGAAATAGAACACCAAATAATAAGAAATTATCAACAGATTTTGAATAAATGCCAAATTATATGAATCAAGCAGAATAAGCAAAAGATTGGAAATAAAAAAAAGAAGCAATTGATTGGTTATGTAATTTTGTAAAAAAAGAGGCTTAAGCATTGAATGGTCATAAATATTCAAATAAGTTTTTGGATTTATTATGTAAATTAATTGATGATGGAAATAAAAATATAGCATTATATACTTGTGAATAATTCATTCAATTAGTTGAACCACTTAAAGTATTTTATTTTAAGTAATATAAATAGTTTCCAATATAAAATAATTATGTTAACGTATGGAATGGAGTCTTTAAAGTTGTTTCTTCGACTAATAATTCAGTAAGGTAATCAGCTGAATCATTATTTCATGAACTGATGATAAATATTGACATTCAATATTCATTACCTTAAATCTAACATCTCATATTGTATGGTCCAGCCAAATCTAAAGGCATTGCCATAACAATGTTAGCAAGTATTTTATTATTAATATTATAATAAGATTTTGTATAATAATTTTATGATGAACGACCGTAATTAGTAGTGAAATATCTTGTACCATTAGCTAAGAAATTACAAGAGGAATAGAAACCAGACATCAAAATAGCTTCATAGAAACTATTTTAAGCATTGGTATCTACATGTCCAAACGATGTCGCTCATTTGAAGTTATTAAAATGAATATTATTATTTATTATAATTTTTAGTTAATGTTACTTATTAGTTAATTAGTTATTATCATTAATTAAATAGATTGTTTAGAATGTCTATTTCATTTATAAAATTTGATATTTTTTATAATTTCCATATTTAAAATATATAAATAAATAATATACTATATATAAATAAGATTTCTATTCTATTTGAATATATTCTTTAATGATTAAGTTGTAATATAGTATATGAAATATGAATGTGATTGTTTAAGAACAAAAATGATTTCAATAAAGAAATTATATTAGATTAATTTTTCATTTATATTAATTGAGAAACGGATAATGAAAACATTTATCTTATTAGGATTGTTGTCCATCACTTTTGCAGTGAGTATTAGTAATCAAGGCACTTTAACAAATCCAACATCAAGAGTGGAAAGAATAATGACTAAATTTATGCAATTAAGTGAGATGAGCACACAATTTAACTTTAATAAACTTTTTGATGCTATTGACTAATTGAGTGCTTAATTAAAAGTATTTTTGTATAATTTATATTGATAGCAATCAGAAGTAGATGAGAACAATCTGTTTGATGCTGATTTTGCTTAATATGTTGAGGATTAAGCATTTTATACAGATTTAGTTACTTTCTACACAGCTGAAGTTGCCTAACATACAGAGGATTTAAGATCATTAAACAATCATTTGGAATCATATTAATAATAATTAACATAAAGATAAGAGGAATTAGATAGAACTTAAAAATAAAAAGCTTAATTAGAAGAGACTATTAGATAAAATGAAATTACTTATAATAAATAAATTAGTGATTTCAATACAGCAATAGATGTTTTAGATTAAGCTATTTAATTATTGTCTGGTTTAAGAAGTAATTTCATAATAATATAAGTAGATCCTGTATTAATTTAAACTGAATCAGATTAACTAAAGACATTAGCTAATAAATTAAATTCAATCAATTTAAAGAATCACAGAGTATTATATTAACCCATAATTGATATCTTTATGTAAATTGCATAAAATAAGTATCAATATATTATATCATAATTAGTTTGGCTAATTAAGATCTACTCAAAAAGGTGCTTAGTATGTTGAATGGACTTAGAAACTCATTAGATGGAGGAAGAAATGCATTAACTAGCAATTACAATAGTGAAAGAGCATCTAATTTAGAATTATTAGAGAACTACAATAAAAAAATTGATGCTCTTGTTAATGAAGTCATTCCAATGTTATAAGATTTAATTGCCAATACTATTGGTATATATATATTTGATTACTCTTTTTTATAGAATAAATTAAGGTGAAAACAGAATTATTGAATAATGCTTAAGCTAATTTAGATGAAGCAAAAGAAACCTTATAATATATTGAAGATAGATGGGTTAAAAGAAAGGCTTAACATGCAGCATTGTTAGCAGAATATGAAAAAGAATAAGCACTTATAGCTTAAACTATAACTGTTTTGCAAAGAGGTGGTGTAAGAAGATAATGATTTAAATTTTATTTTATTTCACATCGGAGGCATACTCATTCCTGCAGGCATCATAGTTTATTATCCAGGTAAACCCATTCCCTTTGGTTATGAAATTAAACCAATATTTGGTGCTCCTGTCACTCCCTATCTTGTTATTGGTTAGGCTTTTCCTGGTCCTGGTTATAATTCTTATTTCTTTGGAGGTTGATGAGGAGGGGCTTCAGCTGATAATGATATTATATTATCGCCCCTCACAATAATCATTCCCAAAGTTCTTTTGGTTTCGATTTCGTGAATTCCTACCTTAAAAATAACTTCTACCTTGTTTTCTTATTCTGTATTCTTCGCATTCACTCAGAATAACATTCAAATGTTTGTCAAAAGCTAAAAAGGTTCCAACTAACATACGTCCATCACCTAAAGTAATACGTACTCTATAATCAATCCATTAAAAAAATTTGCTTTTCTAAGACATATTTTAATATTTTAATATAATTATACAATATTTAATAATTAGTAAATTTAATTAAACATTAATCATCTCTTAAAACAAAAATTTCTAATCTCTTGAAATGCATATCTATCTGGTTCTTAAAACATTTATTAAACTGTTTATTAAGCTGTTTTTTTAACATTTGGAGTAGATTAATTTTAAGAATTCTCTTTTTAAATAACAGTCTAAATTCCTATTGAATTTGTTTGTTTTGGCTTTGGAATCTGACTAATCAAAAACATTAAACCTGCATTAATTTACTCTAACATTTCCTAATCCTTCTCTCTTTAATTTAATAAATAATCCATCTTTTATTTCAATTCACTCTAAAATTTATTAATTTAAATACCAATTCATTCTAATCTTATATTTAATTTTATTAATTCTTAAATTAAGATTCTTTTGTAGGTTTATCAGTTCTTACAATAAAATCACTTAAATTTTCAGATATACTAGAATGCTTTGATTATTCTCTTTGCAAACTAAATTCATTTGAATTAACAAAATTGTTTAACTATGGTTTCTCTTTTTATGTTTCTCTAAATTCATTCCAATTATCTGATTCATTAGTTCTATTGGTTTTCATTAAACCATTATTAGTTCTATTAGTCTTTACTAACCTTATATTGATCATCTATTACTTTTCTATTGCAAAGCAGAAATTAAATTGATGATTTAATCTTCATTATAATTATCTTATTCTTCATCAGAACTCATTTGATTGTCGTTAAAAATATAAATTAAATTATAAATAATATATTAACAACTCATTCCCAATTATCTTAAGATTAATAAAATGTAGTTTCTCCACCAAAACCACCAACAATTATATTTAAATTATTGTTACTTATTGATATTTAACTAATCATATAATTCTACTAGAATTCTCTATGTAAAACCCATTTATTTGACATATTCTATCTCCAAAATTTAATTGTGCAATCCTTACTACCAGTAAATAAAATAGATGAATCTGAATTAAATATCACAGAAGTAATAGAAGCTTTATGACCATCCAAAGTCTATATTTTCTTATATAATTAATTCTATTCCATTTCCCATATTCTAATAAAACAATCCTAACTACCAGAAACTAAAACATCCTTTAATTTACTAAAACATAATGTTGTTATACTTCCTTTATGTCCTTTCAGTATTTGATTTTGAATCCATTCTTAATTCTTAAAATTCCATAATATTATTGTTTTATCGAATCCTCCACTTCCAATAACATTAGAATTTCTATTAAATTAAACTGTTTAAATTCCAGATTGATGACCTTATAAAGTATATTTAACTTCCCAAATCATTTCATCTTCTTTTTAAATCCAAATTTTTATTGTACAATCATCACTAACAGATACCATTTATCCATTTTTTTAATCCCCTTATATAAAATTAACTCCCCTTTAATGTCTCTATGTCTAAATATTTGGTGTCCATTTTTAATCATTTCTATACCAATAAACTATTGATCCATTTTCACAACCAGCAAAAAATGAACCTTTTTCATCATAAAAACATAAACATAAAATTTGATCTACTTACTTTAATTAACTTTCTAATTACCAATCTTTTTTTTCTTCATTCACTTTCCACAATAATAATTATTCTTGATTTACACTAGATATTGCATATTCTCCATCATGAGATATTATAACACTTTAAGGTAATTCTTTCCTAAAATGTTTCTAATGTACATTTAACAATTTATATTCATACAATTTTAATAATCTAGGAGTAAATTTACGATATAAATCTTAGCAAAATAAATTTAAATTGAAATTCAATACATTTACTTAATCCTATTACTTTCTCTATTTATCCAATAATTTTTATTCACTCTACTTCCACTTCTCATTATTACTTTTATCACCTAATAATTAAATCTAAGCTAAATTCTTTTATTCTTCTATTGTTCCCTATTCTTTTTTTAATTTAATCATTTCTTAATCAAGTTTAAATAATTTTAAGTCTTTCTTATCTATTCCCACTTCATGTTTCTCTATCATACATTCATATTTCACTAACATCTCTGATAAATTCTTATCTATCCCCTTTTTCTAAAGTACTTTATTAATTGCACTACGAATCACTTTCCTTAACCTTGACTTATTATCTATCTTTCCTTAATAATATCTCACATTTTTCATTATGACAGTTTTAAATTCATTCATTTCCTTATAATATTCATCATGAGCCCTTTTAAATTCTATCAATTCCTCTCTATTTTTAAATTGTCTACTAAATTGAATTAAATCTTCCAAGAATTATTCATATTTCTTTATTATTACTTCTGTGCAGTGTTGTTAAGAACTTAATAATTAGTTTTGCTATTCTAAATTTTTATCTAAAATTGAATTTACTAAAGATGATCTTTACTGCATGAGTCTAGTAATCAATTCAAATTATTCATTAATTTTATCACTACTAAATTTGATATACTCCTATGTCATAATGTCGAGTAAATTTGATTGATTCTTTCCTTCATTTTAAGTAAACCATAACAATTAAATTTATAATTGGAATCTATCAATCCATTTTGAATAGTTCCCCTAATTATATTCTCCTACATTTGAACTTTCCATAATATGATTATATCAGAACAATTTTTTATTTTAATTATTTAAAAAAATTTTCATATATTCATTCCCATATTGTATCATTATGATTTGATCCTTTAAAAGATACAAGCTCCAATATTGCTTGTATTTATAAATTTCAAATATTTATAAGATATATCTATAAATTTAGTGTATAAATTTGTATACAAAACATTTTAAATTATCAATTTGGATATATTAATTAGATAATAAATAAAATATCAATGTGAAAATCAAGTTCATTTTCATATATAAATTTATATAATATTAAGGTAATTAATTATTTAAAATCATTAGATTATAATATTTTCAAATTTAATTCTATTTTCTATTTATATTTTTCACTTTTTTTGTAACTAATTTGATCACAATACTAATCAAAGTTAAAATAATAATAACTAATTATAAATAATTCTTTATCTCTTACTCATTCTTAAATTTTATTTCAATTTCAATTTCTGATACTTGATTACTTAACTTTAAATAAGCAGGTTTTGAGCATTGTCCTTAACATTCAACTTTTAATTTATCAAGTATAATTAAATGAACTTAATAATTTTAATTTAAGATATTTTGAACTATTACAAAATGAGTTTCATTGTATCTTTCGATTGCTGTATAATTATTATCAATAAACTTTTAGATACTATCTACATTTTTACGTTCTGATAAATTACTAATATCAAATATATTAATAAAGTTAGATTAATCATTTTAAAAGCTAAGAATTGCATATTTATTATCAATAAATATTAAATTAGAAAATAATGCTTCCTATTCAAATCGTATTATTCCTTATTATTATAATTTAATATTATCTAAATGATTTAGATTAACAGTTAATTTAATTAAAAATGCTAGATGAAATTGCATAATTACAATAAACTTAATTTCAATGTCATTATTTATTTTATTGACATAATATATTTATAACTTACTCAGTAAGTTTTTGGAAAATTATGTCTAAAGATTAGAAAGTAAATCGTTCCATTATTAAAAATCATGATAAAGTATATCATATGAAGCATTTTGATCTACTTTTGTAATATTTATAATTCTAATTTCAAAATATTCAATATTTATATTCAAAAACAAGTAAGTGAAATTATCAATTTTTGCAACATCAAGTGACTAAAATACCTAATTTTCGAAAGATTTAGTTAGTTTTGCATCCTAAAGATGACAAAATTAAAAAGTAAATAGAAGATAATCATTAGAGTATCTAAATATCTGAAAATCATTTATTTAAATGAAATCTTTAATCTCAATATAAGACGAATCATCATTAGTTAATATCTTATAATTTTTTTTTAATTTAGAATTGTTATAGCAAAAATTAAATTCATTGATAATTATAGTATCTTTGTCCTTCATATAGATAACATGATTACAATCATCTGGATTATAGCCAATATTTAATAAGGAGAATATCATATTTTAATAATCAAACGTAATAGATGTGTTTAAATCAAAAATATTTCTCAAAATGGATGTTTAATTAATACAGAGACCAAATCTATAAAAAATACAACTAATAGAATTATTTGTAAATATCAACGGTAAATAAACTTAATTATTTTCTGATCCAATAATCTAAATATTTTCTATATTACCAAAAATATTCTTAAAACTAATAGTATTATCAATGAGAATAATTTCATTTTAATTTAATAATTCTAATTTGTAGTTTTTATTAATTTAAAATAGATACAAATCTAAATCTACACTTTAATTGCTAATCAAAGATTAAGTTTTAATTATGATTTCCTTATTCTAAACAAAACTATAACCCCCATAAGATATGTTTAAAATAAAACATGGTTAATATAAGTTTTGTATCTTCAATTATCCTTTATATTAGTAAATATATTCTTTATTATTAATAAATTTAAATGAAAATCTTTCTTCACTATCAATTTCAGTAATTTAAATTAAAGATTCAATCGCTGTTTTTGTTACATCATAAATCAAAATAAAGGAGCCTTAAATAGAACTTTTTGTTTTTATCATTAGAATAGAATTCTAAATTTAATAATAAAATGGGAATTAAATTGTATAATTATAAGTTGGAAGTGTGTATAGAAATAGCAATTCTTCTCTTTTGACTAAAAATAATTTGACATAATATTTATTATCAAGAAGAGTGAACAATAGAAGATATTCTAATAGTACATTACTTACTTCCGATATCTTCTCTTTTAGGATTATTATACGTTCTACTTATTTTTTATGTTTGAAATACAAAGAATGAATATCAATATAAATATCATCTTTATAAAATTAAAGAGAGGTTTTACAATCAAATTGATATTTATTTTTTCTTATCGAAAAATAATCTCCAAAAAATAGAATCGATATTTTATTACAATCTTCAAGTAAATACTGAACTATATCTTTTTATTAAATTGCTTTAATTATCTTAATATCTGTATTACTAATACTCTTTTCTATTTATTCAAATCCTAATTTGTAAATTTCAATTTAATTCTAATAAATTATTACTAAATGTATAGATTCTCTTATAAAAAACATGTTTATTAAATTATTAAATAATTTAAACTAATATGTTTTCATAGGTCGACCATTTGAATAAAATATTAATTTAATAAATTTATCATCTAAATTCAATCCTATAAGTATTTGTTCATCTTTAAGTTTATGTAAAAAGGTAACATTACCAATAGAGAGAATCCAATCTAAATAAGATATAAATTATGCATATTGATTCTCAAAAATTGTTAACTATTTTTCATTTTCCATTATTTATCTTATCTTAAAAGGAAGAGTTCTTTTATATATTTAGTATGATAAGCATATTTAATCATTGGAATTATTTGTTTCATAAAATATTTTTGTTTACTGAAAATATTAAATTGGATTATTTGGATCCAACAATATGAAATTAATCAAAAAATTAGGAGCAATTATTAAAGCTGATTATATCATATATATTGAATCAGAATTGTTATAGGTAATTACAGATTTTGGTAAGGTTAATTTAATAAATTTCAATTACTAATTTGATAATGCTATAAAATAAGGTAATTCACCAATTTATATAAAATTATTTATCTTAATAGATAATATACTAGAGAATAAGGAATTAACTTTTATAAATAACTAATCTTTTAATTGAAATAGAATAAGATTTTTTTGAATGAAAAAGAAATTCTAAAAGTCTTATATACTTATATCGAATTAATAATTATTTAAATATAATTATTAAGTTTCCTTATTTACTTAAACGATATAATTTTGAGTTTAAAGATTTATAAACTTAAATTATTTAATATCAAAACCTACATGTGAAAACAGATTGTAAAGTTCTTTAGTTTGAAGAAAAAATGATATGATTTAATTGGTGAATATTATATACAAATTACTATGAGTGCAAAATTATATATCTATAAGTTATTCTGTATTTTCATTAAATTCTTTTATCTCTGTTAAATCATATAGTTAAGTATTGTTAAATGAAAGATTATGTATTTAAGTTGAATAAAATTTAGTACTTTCACATTATTTATTATATATTATTAAAGTCTCTTTATAAAATGTTGAATCTTATTTACAAAATGGTTAAATTGGTATCATAATTTCATCAAATATTTATGATTAATTAACTATTTAAATTATTGTAGTATTTTCATTAAATTTACATTATACTATATAAATGAATTTATCCAATTAATGTAATTGATAACAATATGAGTGATTTAACAAGAATAAACATTGTTTCTTTTCAATAATTATTTCATCATCATTATATAAATAATTTTTTATCTGATATAAGCATTCAATACTCTTATTCTTTAGTATAAACACATCTATATAATCATCTGAAGTAAAGCTAAATAATTGTTCATCTCCATTTAATTCTATAGACTATTCATTTTCTATTTTTATTTCTCTTAGTAATTCAATATTTTATTTCTAAATACTTTTCTCATCAAAATTCTCTTTATCAATATCAATAGCATATCCATAATTCTTCGAATAGATATTCTCATTAGGAAAAATCTAATAAGTAGTCTAAAATATATATAATCTATACTGATTAACAGAAAGTAACTCTTATAAAAAACCACATTTTCAAATATAAGCATATGTAAATAAAATTCATTTTGCTACTATATATAAAAAAAATTATTTATGATTTATTTAGTTTATTATAGCTTTAATTCTAATCCTTAATCGTATTTAATTAGACTTGTAATACTAAAAATATATGTTAGAAATACAAGTATATTATTGTTCATTAATAATTATATTTAAAGATTAATTAAATCTAATTGAAAAATTAATTTGATAAATCTTAATGTATCGTTTTTGCTATTTTTTTTTCTTGAAAACCAGAAATAATTCAGATTCTTTAAAAAAAATGAAATGAATGATGGTTAAAAATTCTATTGTTTCAAAATTAAATCCAAATTTATTTTTTATTACTATACAATTTTTATTTGCTACAATTGTATTTTTATCCTCTAAATCCCTCTCTTTTACTTTAAAGATAATAAAAATATTATTGAAAAATATCAATATAAAATTTTAGGTATCTTTAAAATTAAGGATTTTAATATATATAATGAAACATTAATAAAAGATTATTATTATTAGATTATAATAAGTGATAATTTTTAGAGAATTTAAAATTTTATTATAAAAATTCAAACTATTTTATATTTTTTTAAATAATTTAATAAATATATATATTTAGTTTCAAAATTTTCTATTGTCTCATATCAATATTAAAAACATAAACTGCTTAAATGTAATTAAATTAAACAAGAATTAATAATAAAAAATGAAAAATAAGTCAATAATTTTAATATTCCATTTTTAATCAAAAGAAATAATATAGAATTTTATCTTCTGTAATTAGAATATAAAATGAGATACAAAAATTAAAAAAAGAATAAATGACTTAAAATGTATCAATCTAATAATTCAATATTCTTGACAGCATTAATTATAACTTATTTTGATGTTTCAATAATCTCTCCACCAACAATCATCTCATCAAAGATTGAATATGCCTGAAATTATGATTATTTTTATTACTTTATTAAAATTAAAGACAATATCTAATTCACAGACATTTCCAAAGTATTTATCTAAAACTTCAACATATAAATGTATTAATTCAAGCATTGTGAGCTCATTGTCTGAAACATCAACACACAAAGCAAAAAATAAGCCTGCATAACGTTTATAAATAATCTTGTAATTTCTGAACTATAGTAATGAATAAAGAAGTGTACTTCAAGGAAATTAGTGTGTTTAGTATCTCTGCATACTATTAATCTATGGACTTCATTTTACAGTTTGACTTTTTCAGCATCATCATAATATACATACCACTTTGATAATCTGGTTTTTCCTTATCTATTTTAAAGTAAGATGAATCTGATCTATGAATAATATTTTAGAATAGTACCATTATAATTAATAAATATATATATATTAATTTATAAATTAAAGTCATTTTGTGATCCAAGGATGATTTAATATTTATATGATTGAAGGTCTCTTGTTGCAATCATGCTAGAGAATTCCTTTCACAAAATTTTAAAAATCTTTACTACACCAATTAGGAAATTAGAATATCAAATTCATAATCTCCTTTTTTATATCTTATTCATTATGAGATTCAAATGGAGGTCTGCCTAAATAATGATTTTTAAACAATATACCTACCTACAACTAATTCATAAGCCAATACACCAATAGTCCATACATCCACTCGATTATCATGAAATTAGTAATTGATCATTTCAGGACATAAATAATCTAGAGTACCACATAACGTCTTCCTTCTATTAGATGGAGTATGTACACTCCATCCAAAATCAGCTATCTTAAAGATGTTATTATGAAAACAGAGAATGTTTTCTGGTTTCAAATCTCTATGAATTACATTCATTTAATGCATGTATCCAATTGCCATTGTGATTTACTAAATAATCTTTGATGCCATTTCTTCACTAAATCTTCTATTAGTCTATTTCTTCATTAATCCATAAAGATCACCTAGAGGTGCCCATTCCAACATTAAATATACTCTTTTTTAAGTCTAAAAAAAACCATAAAATCCTATTATATTTGGATGCCTTAAATGACTAAGAATTTCCACTTCTCTAGTTAATGAATCTGTTAATTAACATAAATTTAATTGTCTCTTACTAATAACTTTCAAAGCTACTATGAATTTGCTCTCACGCTCCCTAATTTGATATAAACAAAAAATGAATACCTCGCCAAATATACATGTCCAAATTTCCCATTACCTAAATAACGACCCATTTCAAACCTACTTAAACTCCATTCACTAGGATCAAATTCTTTTGTCTCCTCTTTATTCATATCTTCCTCCTCACTATAATTATTTCTTGTTTCTTCTTCTATAAATTCTTCCACTAATCGCTTCTTCTCTAAACAATCAAAGCCTTTAGTATTTTCTTAACTATTAGTTATATTTGACAGCACAAAATTTGCATTTTGCCACATAAAATATAACAGCAAAATTATAAATATATATTAATTAAGTATCAAAACACTCAAGCTGTTTAATATTGACCCAGCCATTTTACTCGTTTACCATTTAACCATTCACCCTCTCTACATAATCCTCCTTTCGAATAAAATGTACCATTTCAATGCTCTCTACCTTCAAACCAATTTCCCTTATACATAGATCCATCTTCATAAGTAAAGTCTCCAAACCCATGTTTCTTATAATTGACATACTTATAGAAATATTAGTATTTGTTACATATCCATCATATAATCTTCTATCAGGCCATGTAAAAGTACCATAATCATCCATTTAATTATTTTTCCATTATCCATCATACTTTCTACCATCACCAAAATTAAATACTCCTTTACCATTAAATTTATGTTCTTTTATTTTTCCTACATAACTAATCAAAATATTTATAATTTATTAAACCTTGACCCATCTTAAAAATGAAATTCTTCAAACCCTGTCTTCTTCCCAACAACAAACTTCCCTTTAAAATTAATCCCATCTGGATATCTTTCAATACCTTCTCCTTGTTATTTATCATTCACCTATTCCCGTTCATAAACATATCCTAAAGTTGTAATTTGTTTCCCTCTCCAATTAGCCATATTCCTTAGAAATTCACTTTCATAATAATAATCTCCTGTTGCTAAAATAAGTCTGCCATATCCCCACATCTTATCATCCTTCCAAAAACCTTCATAGATACTATTATCTAAAAAGATTGCCCTGCCTTTACAATGACGCAAACCCAGTTTCCATTATCTAACATATATGGTGCCATCTTATAGTTGATAGGGTTCATGATGAGGCAATGTAAGTTCATCTTCTGTATAATTCAATTATTTGAGATATTCTTTGTAGTTAAAATTACCAATTTTATAGATTAGATTATTTACTATTGTTGAATATTCACAGAAGTTGCGTTCTACTTTAGTAGCATTTAAAGGGGAGTGATCAATCTAAGTATGATAATTGAAAATACAACTTCTTTGATAGGTTGATCAATTGCATTACTAATTTAAGCATGTAGTTCATGACTATGTTAACTATCAATAGATATGATTAATGGATTCTATTGTTCTTTCATTTTATTTTTCCATTCTAGAGATTTAATACTTTGATAGGAATACTTCGATAGGCTCTTTAAATATTAATTGCATTTTGAGAGTAATAAGTTAGGGTAGAGAATTCAAATAGACTTACCATTTTTGTTCCCTAAACACCACAACACGTTCCCATATTATATTATTAAATATAATTGCATTAAATTATATAATGATGATAGTATTATAATTTGTGATTATTTTATGAATGAATTAGAAATGAAGTTTTGATTAAGTGATAATATAGATATAAAATATTATTGGAAAACTCTTATTATTATGATGAGAGATAAGAAATTAAATATAAATATATAAATAATATAAATTATTAATGTAGAATAATTAAGGTGGTTAAAGTTTGCGAATTGAAAATGGTTCTGATGATCGAAGATTAGAGAGATTGGAAAGTAAGTATTTTAATTTTGATTAGGTAGTCAAACCAATAAATTCAAATATATCTAGATTTAATTCATTGTTGTAGGTGTGGAAAGAACATGATATACCTGAATATCATTAGAAGTACTACTATAATGTGATATTGAAACATTAGCAATAAGCTGATGAATTAATGAGAATTGAGATTGATAGCATTACAAACAATAAAAGTGTTGTTAGAACTTTACATCAGTTGACAATAGGAAGGGAAAGATGTCTTAAAGAAATATCTAGAGCTAAGCAAGGAAATATTTCAGATTTCTTGAAAACAATTTCAAAATTTATTTATGATCTTCGCAAACTCACTTTGAATTTAATTGAATTCCATAGGAAATGGATAAATTCTTTAAATTCTAAGTATGAGTACAATTATATATGGAGAATTAAGGATAGAAATTATTTGCATTAAATAAAGGAAGATCATAAATTTATATAAAATCATCATCCTAAGATGAGACAATATTTTTAATTTAATGATGAAGATATCTTTTATTTAAGTGTAGTTAGATAAGCAGAATAAGATGATTAATAAAAATATGAACATTTAATAAAACATAAAATGGATTAAAAATACAAAGAGAAAATGATAGATCTATAAGAATATTTTAATAAATAGATAAATGATTATAAACCAGTTAATCTTGGAAGTTAATCTTATTAAAATTCAGATATTAATAATCATGCAGGTTCTCCAGGATTTTAAGGTAAAAATAATATAAATTTGTCAAATTATGCAAGTAAAGTGATATATACAGCAGAAAATTTAGAATTTAATTTAGTATCATATCCATTAAAAGATTTGGAAGCAATATTAGATTATTGGTCTAATCAAAATGTATAAGAATTGAATGACAGTTTTAAATATCCTATAAATCATATAAAAGATTTATTAATGTATTGGTAGGAAGCTGCAATAGTAAGAATTAATCAAAATGGATTAATAATATGTTCAATTGATTAAGAATTTAATGGAAGAAGATGGATTTTACATTAAATATATTTATAAAAAGAAGAGTAATGGCAATAGAAATTGAAAGTTGTAATTCAACATTTTATTAAAATGTTGATATAATAAGGAGACACTTTTACATCATTAGCAATATGTTGTAGTAAAGATTAATCTATAAAAAATGTATTGAATGATCAAAAATTCATATTTTAAAAGAACATAACATATAATAAATTTAATGTAGTAATTTATGAATAAAAAATTTAAAATACTTAACAATTAATGAATAGATAATATTTCACTCCTTTAACATTAAGAATGCTTAGAATTTATGCAAAATAAACAGATTCAACTTTAATAACAAATGAGGAAATGCTTATAGCTTAATATTGTGCAAATATTGGAAAGAATACAATTATACAATTTGAAAATAATATATTGGCTTTATCTCCATATTTAAATGTAAGAAATAACATTAAATAATATTAGAAATCTAAATTATATGGTTAAGAATATATGTTGATTTAAAAACCAAATGATGTAAAAAATAAATACCAAATTGAATTTAATACTCATGTTTAGACTCCAGTATATTTTCAATAATTCAATGTTAAATTAAATTTCAAATATTTTAGTAGTGAATTTTATCGTAATAACACTTAACCATATCTTAGACTTACTGCTGTAATTAAAATTTATACATATATATATAGCATCCAACTATGGATAAATAAGAACCCTCCATTCTGTAATTAAGTTCCTCAGAAATATCTAATAGTATGATTTATTTGATTTCCACCATTGACCCATTTATCAAAATGTATTCAATTGTCACTCAAACAATAGATTCATTCAAGAAGTACAATCTAATTAGATATCCAAATCTAACATTCAATCTTTTATCAATTAAACTTTTGAGAAATATGATAAATAATAAGAATGTTAAAATCATGTTTGGCTACCTCAATTCAAATGTTCTGGGAAATAATTGAAATTAAGTGATACAAAAATTGATGCTTACTTTTAAAATGATACTTATTTATCTGTAATGTATCCCAGGAATCCTTCATTACATACTAATAAATTTTTTAATGATACAGATAAAATCATTTAACCTCCATTTCTTTTTGGAATTGTATAAAGTGATCTAGAATTTATAAATAAACCATTATTCACCATTTTAATAGATAAGGAAAATATTATTAAAACATCTGAAAAAACAATTAATAATAATACTTCTTATCCTACTTCTCTATAATTATAACCAAAAGAAACTGAATCTGTTATTAAGGAATTAATCAAAAATACAGATATGGAAGTTAAGAAATCCTTTTGTTCAGATCCTGCTATTTTGATATATAAATTAAAGTATTCACTTGAATGTTCATTAATTAATCTAAACATTGGTCATGCACTTATTTATGTTGATGAAAATCATATCTTAGAAAAAAGATGGGTTATTGAAACTATTATGACTAATGATATAAAGAATTTATCTCGATTGCTCACTTAATTAATTGAATATATATTTACTATTGATCCCTCAGCTAATGAAATACAAATTAGTTAGGTAAAATATCTATATACATTTAGACACATTATTAAGATAAATAAGATTTGATAGCAAATAAAGATATTATGGATTCTATTAAAAAGGCTAAATTTAGATGGAGATAAGTTGATAATGATGCCAAAACACAAATTAGAAAGACTATCTATTATCTTAAGCGATCCCTTACTGATTAGTATCATATTATATATAAACTTATTTAGTCCTAATAAAACACTCAATTAAGTTTCAATTTAATTTAGATCTTATTATGCTACTTAGTAAAGTCAAGAAAGAAATCAAATTCAAAATCATTTAGAATATATTCATTCATCAAATGTATATTAATTCTTTGAGGATTGTTTCTAATATCATGTTAATGGATAAGTTCCTGATTCCAATTCTTTCCTTTAAAAGAAATTATAATCAATTTAGGGTAAATTACTTAATTCAGAATTTCTTACTATCCACACTATTGAAGAACTTAAAACTTAAATCAAATTTTCAATTAATTTACCTTCTTTTGAAAGTAAATTTTAATAGGTATATATATAAATTTAATAAATTAGTTTGATTTACTTTCAATGATTACTTAATTGAAAATAAAAAAATAGAGATAAGTGATTTATAAAGATAAAAAATATTTAGAAATACCTAATTATGATGGATTACAATAAATATTTGAATCTGAAAATTATCAATTGAATTAAAAGATCTTTTTTATTGCAACTTAAGATCCACTCTATTTCATTTATTTTATAGAATTAAGGAATCCAAATTTAATTCAATAAATTTAATAAGATTAACTTAACATTGTCAGTCAAGTTTCACAAGTAAATATAATTATTTTACAAGGCTTTCGTAACTAAATATTAAAGTAATCTCTAATTAGTGTGGATTGAATAATTTAAAAAAATTATTCCTATCCATTAAAATTAGAATTACTTATACATTGATTTTGCATTGAATTCACAATTTTCAATTGAATAATCTATGATAATGGAAGATGAATCTAATCATAATATAGAAGAAATCTATAAGATTAAGTTACCTATGTTTTGTGGACTATTGAATACCTTAGTAAGAACCTAATTTGAGCGTCCATTGATAGGAATGATAATTGATTAATGATTAATCGATTTTTACTCAGAAATAAACATAAATATTGTAAAATATCTTTTTATTCTTAAATATCTATTCATAATGTTATAACAAATACTATTTTATATTGTTTTAACAAATACAAATAAATATACCATTTTTAGATCCTTTTAGTTTTATGTTAAATATAATTTAGTAACCATAAATCGTTAAATTAAAATTCAAAAAATGAATGCACCCAAAGCTATTCCTTTCATAAAATACATCAACAATCAATTTCAAGTAGATCCTCAAGCTGAATAATTCTTAACTTCCCTTGGATCAGAAAAACTTGGAGTTGTCTCTATTGTAGGGAAATATAGAACCGGCAAAAGTTTCTTTGTTAATAGAGTTCTTCTGAATCAATAAGCTGGAGGTTTTTCAGTAGGTCCTACAATTAATCCATGTACCAAAGGTTTGTGGATATGGAGTCAAACAATCACAGCTTAAAATGCTGAATTCCCTGATATGAAGGCCATTATTATAGATACTGAAGGATTTGGAGGTATGGATGAGAATGTCAATCATGATACAAGAATATTTCTCTTTAGTCTTTTACTTAGTAGTTATTTTATTTATAATTCTGTTGGGAATATTGATGAGAATGCATTAAACACTTTAAATTTAATAGTCAATCTAGCAAAAGTAATTATAAAATTCATAATATATTAGGACATTTAATAAAATAATGAGAATACATTCCCTTAATTCTTATGGATTGTTAGAGATTTTGCACTTCAAATGGTTGATTAATAGGGAAATTCAATCAATTCAAAATAATACTTGGAAAATGCTTTAGAATTGCAAAAAGGATTGTCTGATTCTGTAGAATAGAAGAATCGTATAAGAAGAATGATTAAACATTTCTTTAGAGAGCGTGATTGTATGACAATGGTTAGGCCAGTTGAGAGAGAAGATGATCTTTAAAAATTGGATTCTCTACATGAAAACAGTTTTAGAGGGGAATTTGTTTAATAATTGAAAGAAGCAAGATCTAAAATATTTAAACGAGTTAGACCTAAATCTGTTTAAGGAAGTATGGTAAATGGAATATAATTATTGT